CCTTTCATTTATTCATTCATGTTTATCATGGTCTATATTGATCATCAAACATGAATGCATTTGTACTACCAACTACCATGTGAGATTAATAAAAGGTACTTTGTCCCAAAATTGGAGTTTTGATTTGCACCTTTTTCTTTATTTCTTTTCTGGGTATCCTTTAACAAAACAACTGGCATTTGTGGCATATAACAAAATGTAATCTCTTTTGAGTGAGAAAATGGTAGTAAAAAATGTCAAAATGTTATCTCTTCTCTTAGTACAAAGATATCACTTGAAAAAAAGATAACCCTTAAACTTGTTTCAAGACTAATTTGAAATTAACAGTGGTTTTACACATGCATTCACAATTCTTGTCTAGGCTTTACAAAAAAAATGAAGTTACCTTTTCATGTTTGACCCTTTTTATAAGAACAAAAAAACTTGAAACAAAATATCATTTAGATACTATGTAGGTGCTACAAATTTTGCTCCTATCTGGTGCAATATGTAATTTAAACGCTATTCCATACATTAAACACAATTAATAATAATAGTAATATTAATAATAATAATAATAAACAAACAAATAAATATGCAAAAGGAAACAAAAGAAGTAAACAATACAGAAAAGAGTACAAGAATTCATGTTTTTAGCACATGTAAATTAGTGTTTCAGAGCCAAAAACATACTGAACTTACCTCATCAGTGTTTTAGACTCATCTTTGTCATTCTGTGTGTAATGTAAGTGTGCACTTTTTCTTTCTTTCATAAAAAAAAATAAAAATAAAAAGAATTCTTCAATTCCAACTACATAATAAAACAAATCTTTTTCCTGTAAAACAACTTCATTTGTATTCTTGAAAGTTAACATGTCCAGTTGCTTGCGCATGCTCAGCAGCCTCCTGCAAAAATTCGATTGAACAGTCAGACTTAGGACACGTACTTTTCTTTTCATCTCTAACCAAACAGGCAAACAAGAAAAATTATTTTATACACACACACACATATATAGGGAGCGTCTAAAATGAAAGAGAAACTATACCTGGTTCGAGGAATTAGGAACGAGAGGAAAATACAAATATTTTCTTTCTTTTTCCTCACCAAATTAGAGGAAAAATATTTAGTTTCTTTTTTCCTTTTCCTTCCACTTTTTTTCTTTTATTTTCCTCTCTAACCAAAAAAAAAGAAAAAATGGTTTTCAATATCGTTTTCTTTCTCTTTTCTAAGTCAAATTCTTTGAACCAAACATAGCGTAAAAGCATGGAAAACGGGGAGATGGGTCGACACATGCAACACGAACAAACCTTTTGTCCCACAACTCCAATTTGGCAAACTCCGCAGCGCAACGTGAAGTTGGCAGTATCTGTATAGCTCCTTTTCCTGCATTGTATCAATTTGAGCTACCACATGATTCAACTGTGGAACTTTGGAAGTCAAAGAATCAATTGAACCAAAGGCTTAAGCTTATGGTTGTAGGCCCAAGAAAAAAATTATACTCTAACTGTCTAACATGCTCTCATGTGCAGGCGAAATTTGTTTTTGCTCGAACATTATTTTTTAAACTCTTGTAACCTCTAGGCCAACAATGCTTTGATACCATGTCAAGGAATCAATTTAACTAAAAACTCAAGTTTATGGTTGTAGACCCAGGAAATGTTTTATACTCTAACAATTACCTTTGCTGATCTTTGACAAGGTTAAGAGCCAGCACTTCGATAGGGCCAATGGTGCGGTCCTTCTGTACTGCGAAAATTGTTTGGTCAAACTCCTCCGGAGCCTCTTGGGAAGGGGACATCTGTTGAATGTGTCAAGTTCAAGAGTTAAGCACATACACACATGCCCAATCTCATTCATATGGAGAGAGAGAGAGAGATCATACAGCCAAAGCATCATAATGGAGTCCATCATAAATCAGCAATGCTCTTTCAGGATAGTTATTTTCCTGCCCATCACCATAACATAAAAGAGAGGCATGAAAAAATATACTCCCTCCGGTCCCAAAAAAAACTTCTCAATGCTTTGATAAGCACTAACCTGCCCATACAAATCACAACGGGTAGTCTGTATATCATAAGCAGCAATTTCGCGACCGTAATACTCTGCCAAAATTGAAAGCTCTATGGCACCTATACACATTGTTGACAAGTTAAAATCCGACGGATCAGAGGACACTTAATTTCTTCAAAAGCAATCATAAACCATGCATCTCACTAGAAGTGAAAGAAAAAGTACAAAAAAAAAAAAGAAATGAAATTTTGCATAAGTCGACGCATACCACCCCATTTATCTGGATTCATAATCCATTCACAATATTCTTGATTGGGCTTCCCAAGAAAAGCTTCAGAATACTTCGTAGGATCACTGGCAACCGTTGCTGCAATAACCTTCAATGGAGAAACAGAGTGATAAATGCAATGTGAATCACAGTTTTGGCATTATGTTGGGACTCTGATTGAGTAAAGAATAATGCCTCTATATATGAAATTATGAATACGATCTGCTCTGTAAGTTTTTAATTCTTTTAGATGACTTTTCCGATAATGGTTCATAATGAAACTTTCAGAGGAGGGCACTTCCATTTGGATACATTGAGAAGACATTATGAATTATACCATTTGAGAATATTCGAGAATCATCAAATGCCTGAAAAACTTTTTACTTTGTCTACTTTCTGTGTTTGAGCCGGGATTCTCTTAGAAACAATCTCTATACTCCCGAGTAGGGCTAAGAATAGCGTACACACACCCTCTTTAGACCATACTTTAGTGAGACTTTACTAGGTTTGTTGTTGTAAGGAAAGATCGAACTAGTTCTTCCATAACATACTCTCTTGATCCACACACCACCTCAAACAAAACTACTAAAGCATTACCATCAAAATGGGTATCACAGTACAAACTATTTGTCCCCAAAGAATGTACTTGTATTGCACCTTCCATCTCAAGCTACTAACAGATGTAAAATGGGATGACAATCTTTAAAACATACTACAACAAACAAACAAGCAAACAAATAGATCCCACAGTAGGGTTTAGGGAGGGTGTGTGTACAAATGTTTTGTTCCTAGTTGGAAGTAGAGAGATTGTTTTCTAGAAACCCCAGTTCAGAAAAGCATATATAAAGTCAAGTAAAAAAAAATAAGGTATACATGACAATCTTCGATACATGAATATAATAATTAATCTGTGCACTTAAATAACATAATTTTTCATGAATTAAAGAGAAAAATCTCACCTGTCTTAGCTCAGAAGCCTTTTTCTTGTCATGGTCCATTACATAACTAGATAGAACAACAAAACAGGTTTCAGATATTAAATATAGCAAAAAAAAACCTTTTTTTATTACTAGATAGAACAACTCAGACATTAACTATAGCAAAAAAAGAAAAACTTTTTTATTACTATTACTATTATCATCACGGAGTATTTCTATTTACCTAACAGCATTGAAGAGGCAACTGTTGTCTGAAGGAATGACTCTTCTGACTATAATGCCTTCCATTAGATTTGCACCTGAAAAGATCACCTAAAAGAGATTATTTTATGCCTAAATAGCAAATCTTTAGAGGACCCAAATTGATGAAAGAAAGAGTAATATAAGGTCAAAACAGAAAAAACAAAGATTGAGCTTTTCTTGAAAAAGAAAACGAACAGATGGGGAAGAAACGAAGATTGACCTTTTTGTTTTATCAAAGCAGATGGAGAAGCTTGTTCTGTTTCTGGGATTTGATTTCGGAAGACGAGTGCAGCTGGAAGAGGAAAAGAAAAAAAGGGGGAGGAAGTGATAAAGAAGCGGAGAGAAAGAGAGGAGACGTTCTGGGGATCTAACCAGAGAAGCAAAGAATTGATTTTCGATTTTCTTCAAGATGTTCGTTCTTGAACAGGGAGGGGTCCCACTCGCCCCGTTTCTTCCAACTTTATCCGATGACTTAAGGAAACTTTTTTGAAAAAAATGTTAGAGTACATCAAAAGTGTACTCCATTTGTTCCCTATCCCATCCTCCACTACATAAATGGACATAAATTTCAAAAAAAATTAAATAAATAAAAATTAAATAAAAATGGGTGGTGGAGACTGGAGAGGGAGTGGGGAACAAATGGGGTACACTTTTTCCTCACCATTTACAACCGTCTTCTTAGTGTTATGATCGTTATCATTTTAAATTATTCCTTCAGTCCCCAAATCATTAATCAAAATAATATAAAATTTAAAGTTTTTTTAATTCATTTAATTTAAAGATTAACATATGAATAAAATATAAAAGTTATATATTTAAAAAATACATCAAGAATTTTACAAAATAAGAGGTAACAAGAATATTTTATTTTATCAAATAGTCAATGAAAACATACAAATAAATAAAAATTCCTGCGATTTTTGATTAATAAACTATGTAAATTGTTTGGGGACGGGCAGAGTAATTTATAATGGTGTAAACTAACATTAAAACTAACAAAGTTTACATTATCATTATATATTTATTTCAAAGCGTTAAAACTAAAAGTCGAACATGTTGCCCAACAAGCACCAAATGCTCCCTCTTTTTCTTTTTCTATTTTGTTTAATTTCAAAAGATTAATATGCTTATTTTTTTTATGTTTATATATCGTTAGTTTATTTGAGAATTTCTTTTGGATGCTTTTATAAAATTTTCGATGGGGTTTTTTCATTATTTACTCATTGTAAATTTCAATGTTTTCGTTTTTCTAAATTTTTTTTTTTACTAGGAGATCTCAAAATGATTTCTATCCCGACCATCCTGCTCCTTCCGGTAACGCAGATCCTCATTTATTCCTTTGGATCTTTCATCATTCTCCCGCTACTCTTCCGAGGGGAATGGATTTTTTTTTACTTTATTTAGCTATATATGTCATTGATTAGAATAAAGGGCCTGTTTGAAAATAGCGTTAGCGTTTTGGATAAAATTTTAACAGTGCAGATTATTTTGGAAACGCTAACGCTAAATGCTGCTCGTAGATAGCATTTTCAAAACGCTAACGCTATTTCCAAACAGGCCCAAAATACTCCGTTATTTATACTTCATGAACCATTAAAAATGTGCATTCATGGGATACATAAATAAGTGATTCCCGTAGTAGTTTAAATGAGCAGAAGAAAAAAGGAAAAAGAAAAGGGGGGAAAAAATTAATACATGCTTCGGGCTCTCTAAATCTTCTGCTTCAGTACATGGCGTAGCTGTATCTTCTGGCTCTCCATTTTTGCCTCCAACAGCTTAGACTTCAAGCTGTTCTTCTGTGTTGAGTTCCGCGGCCACTCGATGCACCCTTTCATACCTCTGTTTATGTGATGATTACCCGAGTCCCCTGAGTTGGTGGCGCTGACATCGTCCTCTCTACTCCATTCTCTGTTGGGTGACATCATGATCATACTTCCGTTTGCGTGCCTCCCCCCATTAGGACACCTCCTCCTAGACATAGACGATCCTTTCTTCATTGGGTGCGCTGGCGTGGAACAAACTTCGCTGATATCGGTCGCTGGTGTGGATCCGGCCCCACTTCTTGACACGTTGCTCACTGTTTCCCACTCACTCCCTCCATCTTCTCCTCCATAACCGTCGCTCTGGTTCGTGTAGGCTTTCGTGTGGTGGTGGTGGTGGTGGTGTCTCTGTGAGTTGTTTTCTTCTGTAACCATATGGTCTTCAAAAATGGAGAAAATGTCATCCGGGTTAGGCGGCTCGTATGTGAATTCTTGAATGTTGTGAACATTAACAGCAGCGGCGAATTTCTTGATCTCATCCATGTCTGGGTTATTTATGCCTTTAGAGCATAAGAGTGACTCTAAATCTGCAATTAGTCTGTTCATCTGGGAATACTTCTCTTCCAGTGTCACCTTTGCATCAATCAGCTTCATCTGAACGCGTTCCTCGCGCCAGACCTCGGCCATTTGTAACATTCTTCTCTCTTCGTCAACTTCGTCGCGAAGCTTTGCAGATTCTCTTTTTAAAACTTCCACTTCAGCTTTATCTTCTCCAATCTCTTTGGCTAATTCATCACACACTTCCTCTATCAACTCTCTTGTCTTTCTTTCCTTTTCGTACTCTTGCATGTACCGTTTTGCAGTTACCTTTGCATCAGCTAGCTCATTGACCAGTTTTGCATTGACCATTTCAGCCCTTTGCCGGGTTTTTCTTTCTCTGGCCAGCTCAACTTTCAGGTCTTCCAAGATTGTTCTGATCTTCTCGTGCTCTCTACTTCGCCAGAGAGCCCGTTCTTCGCTGACTTTCTTCAAGAACTGCTCAATTTTCTTCTTGTAGGACTGCTGCTCTGTCTCGAGCTCCTGTATGCGGGCCCGTGCTTGATCCAGCTCTTCCTCCAGAACAGATACCATACTGGAAGTGTGTGCTTTTTGTTGGTGACCATGAATATGTTTGGTTCCTCCTTCGGCTGCATTCCAGTGGATGGGGTCCCACTTTGTGGCTCCCTCCATTGTTGCCGTGTTGGGAAAGTGAAATGACGGTTCAACCTAAAGAAGGTGAGAGTGTGAGACGAATGAACTAAACAACAACAAACACGGTAAATCCCACAAAAGTAAGGCTTGGCAAGGCTGTGTATATGCAGACCTCGCCCCTCCTTAGAAGTAGAGAGGCTATATTACTGGGAGACCTCAGCTCAAACACAGACGCTTAAGATAAACAAATGGAGGTTGAAATATATTTGATAGCCTAGTTTTTTCGGCTCATCAGCCTTATAAAATATATTTGTTTACCAAAGGCTAACTTAAGAGATTGCACTCGCTGAAATGTTTAGTAGTGAAAAGAGTGCTTGGGATATTTTCACCATCAAATGTCCTGAAGATGATCAATGTAGTCTTTTTTTCCATACATCTTTTCCTTTGTTTATCAATAAAATACTACATTTTTATTTTTTTTCTTATACAACAACATCAGCAATTCAAGCCAAATCCATCCTTGACCAGCAGGTTCTAAATCTTGCCTCTCACTCCCTAGAGAAAGTGAAATATTGTCTGGCTAAATGCTTGAGCGAGGAAGTCAAACTAGCCAAACAAGTTTTAAAAGATTGAATGGCAGTGAACTGGTGGTTACTAGAGATACATGCCGTGCAGCCACATAGATAAACTATGTCTACATTTACAAGTACCAAGAAGACAGAATGCCTTCAATCTCAACAATTTCAAACAAAAAGATTGACAAACTGCGAGATGTAATAAAACAAATTTCTGGAGTACCAAATTTATAGGACAGTAGAGATGAGATCCTCTATTTTAGGCGCAGTTGGACCTCTACTATGGACTTATGGGGTATGAATTAGACAAGTGCAAAATAACTCCATACCTTTCGAAATGTTCCATTTCTTGGGCCAGAAACAGAACGAGGACTCTCTAATGATTCCGAAACTTGAGAATCTTGAGTTTTACTGTGACGATGACTATAAAAGGGAGTCCCGGCATGACCAACTCCTCCCTGCATGAAAAATAATCAAACACATAGTGAAATTCAAATCCCAGAAAAAGACTTCCAGATCACAAGGCTGAATGTGATCAAGGAGAGCAACCTTATGCACTCATTTCAAATAGGGAGTATTGTTAGAGTATTAAAACCATTTCTGGACATGCAACTACAAGCTTTGACCTTTTTGTTGAGTTGGTTCCTTAACATAGTATCAAAGAGTAATTGACCTAGAGGCCACGAGTTTAAACCTCACCACCACCTAGTTTTTAAAAACAGCACGAGCAAAAAAAACTTGAATGTATGTGGGAGGCGTTTTAGAGAATGAACCCATTTTTGGCCTTACAACAACAAGTAGAGCTTTTGGTTGAGTTAGGATTCTTGACAAGTATCCAATAAAAGCACGAAAGAAATGGCAGTGAAAATTGTCTCAGCTACCTCTCCAAACCAAAAACAACCTAAGGATGTGACGATGTGTTTGGTTGGGGGGGGGGGGAGGGATACTATCCATTCTCCATTCCCCTCAAATTTATTCCAACCAAGCACGCATCAGCCATCATGTTAACATTTTGCCTTCCTCTCCCCTTCATTCCAACAAACCAAACAAGGAAGCATTCCCTCTCCTCCAACCAAACACGCCCTCACCCAGAAAATCCAAGTCTTCAGCATGACACAAGTACACAATCATTGTTGGTTGCTGCTTTCACCATTATCTCAAATTTAAATGGAAACCAGCGAAAGTACTTTACATTTGAGATTTCTCATCAACAATCGTTAATCATTGCATAGACCTCAATTAATTGAATTTCTTTACATTTAATGATTGGGGGAACAATATTTGGTCAAAGATAGGGAGTTTAAGGGGAATAAAATAGTAAAAAGGCAAAGCTTTAATAGCAGAAAGCATATGAATCTGCAATTACCTGAAACCCTAAATTTTCCCCGTCGGCAGGCACTGCGGGCAACTGCAGCCGCCAGATTCCGGCAGCAAGCTTTCGTGCAGAGAACGGAGCTCTAGTTTTCAGATGGCATTTCCGACCCACGCACTCCTCTTCTGCACCGCAACCATTACTGACCTCCACATCCTCATCGAACTTCCACCGCAGCAGCGGAGTATGGGGCCTACTCCTCCTCCCAGAAGGAGTTCCACTGATATCCTTCCGCAACCGCACTCCGGCGCCGGAGCTCCTGATTTTCCGTCGAGAGAGTTTGCGAGTGCTGGGACGCCTCTGCAGGAGATCCGAATCTGGATATTGGGGAGATGCGATCGCAGGGAGGTCAGTATTGCCGCCGGTGATATTCATTCCTCTAGCCCAGATTCAGCCATCCACCAGCTCTACCGCCGCCGCGTTCCCGGAGAAGATAGAAATCTGAAAAAAGCTCTCCCCTCTCTTTTCCTTCTTCTTCTTCTTCTTCGTGATCTCTGTATCTGATTCGCTCAGTCAATGGCTCTCATTGCAGCAAAACTGTGGATTGTGAGTTGCTTTGTCTCTAAATAGATGACCCGATGTTTGTAACATTGGAGGGATATTTTTTGCTCAAAAAGTAGATTCACCTTTACCTTCTCTAATTTTCTTTTTCATATCCAACTTAATAGTGTATTTTGATTATAATTTGCCCCATGAAGTATATAAATTCTAATTATATGTATGTATGTTTGTAGCGTCTAAAATGTTCTCATTTTGACTTTCGGTAGTTTTTAAGGAGAGTTAAAAGAGGAAAGTTTACCATAATACCCTTAATGAAAATGGGTGGAGTGTATTAAATGAGGTGGGTGAGGTGTAATAAATAAAGTAAATGGGGGTAGTTGTGGTATTTTAATTGTTAAAAATGAAATGAAAAGATCTATTATGGACAAAGAAAAAGGGCTATTGGAAAGATCTATGTGGCACGGAAGGAGTATCTATTATCTACACCAGTTCGTTTAGAATACTTATAATGCCCCACTTGTAAATATAATAGTTACCACCCATAACTCTTAAACCCCACCCTTCTGCCCCACCACAGTCTCTTTCCTGCCCCACTCCCTACTAGGGGTGTAAACGAACCGAATCGAAGCGAATACCGATATATTTGAATTTGTATTTGTTTAATTTTTTCGAATACGAATCCGAATCCGAATATGAGACGAATTCAAAATAAGATTTGAATAAGTATTTGATTAATATTCGAATAGTTATCGAATCATAAACGAATATTTGAATAATCATACTATGTAATTTAAATGATGGACCAACATCAATTTGTAATTTAACTTACGATACTGTTTATACTATACTATCTTCCGTATATAAAAACATTAATACATTTGCATCTTACACAAATTATATTTTATAAAATAGAGCTATTAAAAATCATATGCTTTAGATTTGTGTGTTACGTTAATTTATTGAATTCTTAGTATTTTAAATACACTTTATACTATATTACTTTGCTTGACTTTTGATGTTGAAAACATGGTCTGTGTATATATACACATATATTCGAATATTCGAATATCATCCGAATCGAATATATCCCTATTTGTATTTGTATTTGATTAATATTCGAATCAAAAATAATATTTGAATTTGAATTTGTATTTGAATAACGCGAATTTGAATCATCATATTCGAATACGAATCGCGAATCGAATTTAAAATTTTTGATTTGTTTACATCCCTGCTCCCTACAATGACATTATGGATGGGGTTTGGGGTTGAGAGGCAGAGATGAGGCTAGAATGGAGGGTCTAAGGGAAGGGTTAAGAAAAGTAAGAATAATCATTATTAAAATTGTGATATCGTAAATTTCTTAAACGAATAAATTCCTTAAACGACTTAGTGTAAGCAAATTACTTAATTACAAAGTCTTTCCATAAAGAGATTACTTAGCCTATTGATTAATAAAGTTTTGGGAAAATTATTTCAAACAATCTCACATTCTCGTGTTCTTTCAAAAATAATTCTACTTTACATTGTTATGAAAAATAATTTTACCTTTCCTCATATCTGTGAGTTTTGTGTCACCGTTAGGATGCTAATGGTTACTAAACAAAATTTTAGAAAATGCTCATTTTTCGGAAATGAATGAAAGGTGAGATTATTTTAGATAATTTTCTTTTTTCATTTTTTTAATTGCTAACTTTAAATTTAATTTTTTTAAATGCTTTATAAATAATACCAATTTAAATATTTTTATAGAGTGACATTAATTATTATTTTTCAATAATCGATAATCTAGTGATAATTTTTTTCAAAATAATATTTCAAAATTTGTGAAATTGCACAATATATGATTTCACACAATGGAACTAATTTATTTAGTCGTTACATTTTTTGTATAAGTTATAATTGTCTTGAGTTGCACTTCATTCAAAATGTTTTTTGATACTCTGTACTATATTATCTTGTTATATACAGAATTATATTATACTCGGTATAAAGAAAAAAAAGTATTGTAATATTTTTATATCACTAAAAACTACAATATAATAAGTCGGTTAATAAAAAGTACTAGTAGATGTTTGACTGTATTTATAAACTTACCAACAATGTCCCAATTTGTTGATCTCACGTTTCTTTTTTTTTCTTTTATATTTTCTCAAGTTTTCTGATTTAGTAAAGATATGGCTTTATTTAGGAACAATTTTTTAAATTAGTAAAAACATTTTATCATTAGATAACCCTTTCAAATTTTGTAGATTATTGTTTCAAATTCTAAATTTAAATACTGTAATTGTTGTCAAATGTGCACTTGATCTCAGTTCCAATTATCAAATTATAGCTTTTCATTACCAATTTCTGAAATTTAGTTACTAATCTCAATTCTCAACCCAACACTCAAAATACTAGATCTCATACTTCAATTATCAGACACCAATTATAATGAAAGTGATGAAGAGAGCATGAGCTAAGTATTTCCTCTAAGTGCCAATGGACTACGAGCTATTAGGGTATAAACATTATTTTTGGGTAACATGGTCCAATGTTTTGTCGATCTAGAAGTCCCAAATTCAAACCTAATAATTATTTTACTTGTAAGCACATAATGTTCAAGTGTAAAGTTTGAATAAACAGATTTAATATGCATGTGAGGGGTGTATAAAAAATTAAAAATAAATAGAGCATTCTAGTGCTTTCAGGATGTACTTATGCTTTTTCTATCTTAAAAATATCGATATCTGATATATCTAGGTTTTAGTTAAAATTACTATGATATTTTAATTCTAAATTTGCATTGCCATATTTTAGTCTCTAGATAAAATAAAAAGACTTAAATTACAAGATCACAAATAATACGGAGTAATAAATAAACAAAAATTAAGACCAAAATAAACATGTATTTATATGTATATATAAAATGAGGTTGCATGTGGGTAGGCGCAAGACATGTGTATATCGTCGTCGTATGAATGGGCTTACAATGAATCCGGTGTCGTTTACAATTTTGTCCTCAGGGATGGGACACAACAACTACTAAAATATTGGCTTTAACCAATTAATTAATTAATTAATCAGCAACACCCATTATTTAAAATTTTGTTGTGTATTCGATTAAGATTTTATAATACAGGTTCAAATTCAATGGTATTGAGAGATCGAGGAGTTATACGATGTGTTTCTCTGCTACCGCCAGTTCCATTTTCATCCTTATAAGTCTGATTTCCTCGAGGATTTGTTCATAGCCCCTTCACCTGGATCTTCCTTAACTCTTTGTTCTCAGCTACCTAGTTAATGGGTCTTCAAAATAAATCATTAAGTATGGATTTTTGAGTACAAATCTCTTCTCAACACGATTTTTTTAAAGCAAAAATGGCAATGTATTTCCATTGGTGAGAGCAAGAACTTTGTTTTAAAGTGTTGTTGGATTGCATGTTTGTTGATTTCAATAAATTCGAAAAGGTCAAATTGAACAAATACTTTTGAACTTAGTAAAAGCCTAAAAAGGAACTGAAGGATTGACTCTATATTCACATTGGGGGTTCGAAACCCGACATTTACCCCCCCCAAAGCGAGGCAGAGACTAGCCCCAAGTGGATAGTTTGCAATTGCCAAACAATAACCAGTTTCTGTAACTATAGAAAATGCATGACAATGTATTAATTCCTTACCACTTTACACCATATATTCACAAGAGGAGTCATCAAATGATGAACTGTTGTTGGCTCCATTTTAAGGGTATGCCATGAAGGCCAGTGCCCTTACTGCCCTAAAGTGAACAAAACCGGACATGGGCTCTTTAGTACCTGAACCATGAAGAAGTGTCTTTACTCATCTTCTTTATTGCCTTACCTAGATTGCAGGTAACAATCTACGCTGATCATTCTCATCTCAAGAAGACCTTACCGATATTATAAGAACTCTTCACTTCTCTTTTCTTATCTAGTGTTACCTGCAACATAAAATATAGTGAAAATTGAAAACCCATATGTCCTTAAGTCAATATAAGCACACACATGGAAAAAACAATCAAAGCATAAGCAAACAGTGTGTGCTTAGCGTCATGTACATTGACAAATTGCAGGGATATACAAGTCATATTATTGTTAAAGTTGAACTGGTTTGACTGAAAGTCAAATCTGAAAAAACTTCAGTGCAACAGTAGTATTACTTCAATCCTAGGATCAGTAAATCTATTAAAAAACAAATGGCCTTATTATTGGTGTTCCCAAAACAACCTTAAAAAAAGCCTATCATCCATAAGTTGGTAACGAAGGGAATAAGGAAGAAAATACATAGTGGGAGAATTTGGAAGGAAAAAATGTGGGAAATTAAAACATTCATTCAACCATAATAAATTTATTTGTGTTATTTGTTTAAACTCTTCCTTCTTCAATTCTTTTTGAAAGGTAGTACTCATAAAGATGTGCACCGACTTCCCTTGAAAAGTACTGAGTAATGAATATCCTCATTTATCACCAAGCATGTCGTCTGAGTCCAAGATATTCAAAAGAATACGGTTGGAAAACTCAGCTTATTCATTAACTTCTATTTATATGCAGATTAAGAAATCATACAATATGTAAAAAAACGTAATCATATTTTATTGCCTTTGCATTTAGGAGGTAAAACCAAGCACAAGTTAAAACATATACCCTTAATGAATCAAACAGCAAGGACAGTACCTTTGAATCAGTCAGTATTGTTCTGGCACTAGTTCCCTGGACTCTTTCCTTTAAAAATTTAGGAGCTTGCATTCTAACTGTAGCTCCTGCCCTCTCTTTGATGCTTAAATCCTGACTCCTATACATTGCCCTCGGTGCATTCTCTTTACCACTGGTCACAGGTCTTTTAAACGTGCTTCCTTTGTTCTCTTTAGACTTTGAAACCACATCTGGAAGCACGCTTATGTTGCATCTTTTAGGAAGTAAAGGGTTTTGTTGTGTTATGTTGGTATGCTGATGACCCTGCAAGAACCAAGAAACATTCACAGAACCAATAAAGAAAGTGTCTCAATTAGAGAATCCAGACATTAGTTTGTTATAAAGAAAACACTAATAGACATAGCCAGTGAGTCATTCAACATATACCAAAGAACTTGAGTTGTACTCTCTGAATTCAATCTGTGAATCAGAATATTAGGGGTACGTTTGGATCCCATAAAACATTAGGGGAAGGGAAACCCCACAGGAAAGACTTTTCTTGTGTCTAGTTCCAATTGTACTCTTTATTTTCCACTCTATTTTCTTCCCAAGCATTGTCCACGATCCAAACCCACCCTAGAAATTTGGTGCATTTACTTTTATGTTTCATAATCGGGCAATGAACCGAAGTCATCCAATTCTCAATTCTGTATCTAATATTGCATTTTGAGTTGGAAGAAATCATACCTTTGACATTTTAAAAATATTTACACTCTCTGGGGTTTTGTATTTAGATTGTCCCGTTGACAGGTTTCTATCCTCCCTGTGAGGATTTGAAGATCCCATGCTTGATTTGCACGAAAGAGATTTCCAACCATCAGATTGGCTGTAACTATTAACAGCCGCCCTTGCTCCCAGTCTTGTTGCACACCTATTCATCCCCAGAGCTGACAAGAAATCACTAGTACCGCTTGAATTACTGCTTAAGTTCGTAATTGGATGTTTCTTGTCCAGAGTTATCTTCTGATTCCCCTTCACCCACTCCTTGTTTCTGTAATCTTTACCTCTTGATCTTGATACCGATGGCGGGAGATTTGGGGGAGACGGCTGTTGCATATCCACAGTCATCTCTCCAATCTTAGAAAATGCAGCCTTCAATTCCATGGCAGAAGATTGATGGAACCTGAAATTTAAAACTCACTTCAGGAACACAGAAATGGAACAGGGAATCAGGAGGAAATGGTAAGCAGCTTACAAATGGATTGTGTAAAACCACTCATCATCTCTGCAAAACAAAGATAAGAAATCAGATGAAATGGTGGTGTTTATTGGCTTTTGAAACCAGATATGAATTTAACAATGGCCAAGAACTGTACGGACACTTACTTATCCGTATCTGCGGACTTGGATTCCAAAGAGAGATCCACCCACATTGGAGCCTCAATCTCGTCCTTCAAGAAACACAGGAAATGAATATCAGATAATTCTGTATTGTCAAACCTAATTCAATCAGATAATCTCAAAAATATACATATAACTATGAACGGGAAATGAATATCTGGTAAAAAAAGCAATGAATGAATCGAATACGGAGCAATCGATACTCAAAAATAAGCAATGTGAGCATAAACCCTAGAAAATATATCTAAAAGTCTAACGTAACCCCTATTTGGGATGAATCTTACCAGAAAATCCCAGTGGCCAGACATTTTCTTGAGAGACGATTCGATCCTAGTCTTGGGTTTCGCTCCATTGCCGTTGTTCAGACGAAGGTTTGAATTTGAAACGAGACAATTTTTGGCCTTTAGAGTCGCCATTAGAACAGAGATTGGAGAGCTCAATCTGTATATGAACTTACCAATAACTCAAAGTCTTAACCCCTGTTTGGATGCTTTTTTTTGAAGGAGGAAACACTCGCGGGCAGGGGTCGGGTTTGGGTTCGACCCGCGGCACATTAGGCAACCCGGTAGGGTTGCGGGTTATATCTGGAGCTATTAGGTTTGCTGGAGTTGGATGTCGGGTCGGAATCGGAGCTATTATTTTTTCAGTTTTTTTTATATAATTTGTAAATTTTGTTTCTGTATTAATTTATACTCGGTAATAAATCTAATTTTAAAAAGATAAGATTTTAGATGTTGTTGAAATAGTATAAATCAATTTAGAAGGAAAGAAGTATCACAATTCACAACAAACAAAGAGTAACTCCAGAATTTGGGGCTCATACCCCATTACTTGAAAATTTGGCCTTAATTTGTTGTTTTGAAATTAAGTTCACTCTTTTAATTTTATTTTTCATCATCTTGTTTTTTTTCAATTTCAAATTATGACATTTGAAAAATTATTTTATCACAACATTTAACTTTAATGATTTTAATGTTAAGTTACACCATAAAAACTTTTATTTAAAATGTTTATGCTAGTTAAGCATGATTTAATTAAAATCCATCTCGTTTTCATACCCAAAAAAATTTCATGTCATATATTATCTTTGTGTGATTTTTGAAACAATGGATTTTAACATACTACACATAAAAACTTACATTATTAAACTAAAATTCTCTTTTCGTTCTTAAAAAATCCTTGAATTGGATTTGACACAAAATTTAAGATCTAATGGTAAATTAGTCAAAGTGGTTCAAATGGAAGTGATATGTGGGCAAGCAATACAAAATTTTCTAAAAACGGAAACATGAGTCTTTTTATTAGAATTCCAAAAATGAAGAACGTACCAGAGCTTTTTTAGCTTTGGATGGAGTAAAAAAAATTACTCAGTGCTAAGGGAAAAGGGAAGGGGAAGCTACGTGGCTCATAGACCTGATAAAAGAGCGGGTCGGGCCGACCATCCAGACCATTGCAATGCCTCCACCGCACACAACGGCTCCCACACAATATGTTCCTTACGGTATGGATGAGGTTGTGCCTGAAACACAACTCCTAAAAAATCGAAAGGTAAAGGAAAACGTGAAGGAGGACCAACTACGACTCGGAGTGCTCCAAAATCTTGGACCATGTTAAAGTGCATCCCACGTTGGAAGTTCCGAAGTACAATGATCGGTATTATAAACTCTTGAGTTGAACTAATTAATCAATTATTGAATTAAATCTTTTAATGTGGTTTAGCCCAAATGTCTAATTACCCAGTCCAGTTGTCTATAATCATCCTAAATTCTACTCCCTCCGTTTGGAAAAACCCTTCCCATTTGATTTGGGGGCAAAAATAAGGAAGTGTTAAATTATAGTTGATTTCCACTTTTGCCCCTGATGTGATGGATAAAAGTAAGATGTGATGGATAGATTATTAGAAAAAAAGTATGATGTGATAGGTAGGGTATGAAAAAGTAAGGGTAAAAGTGGTTTTTTAATAGAAAGGGGAAGTGTTTTGTTGGAAGTGGAAAAAAAGAAAGAGGAAGTGTTTTTGAGAACGGAGGGAGTATATCATGGTATCAGAGCAGGTTTTGGCCCACCTCGTTTGTGAAAGTGTACGTCTAGACGTTCATTTCCAGCGGCCCGTTAGTATTTAGCCCAGTTGTACGTATGGAGTATGTACCTAACGGCATGTGGCCCCTTTAACACGATTACTCGTCTGAGAATCCATACCTAGCGGCTCGTGGTCCTTTAGGTGTTGGCGCTCAAAAAAAAATCAAAGGAATGTGAGTTCATTTGCAAGTGGTCAACCGGTTAGATTCAAAATGTTCAGGTTGTCCACTTGGTAATTACTAATTAGGAGGGCATCATCCTTAGTTATGAGATTTGGACAATCATGAATTGATTGGCAAGAAATTGGTTAGAATTCCTAGTAGGATTTTTGGAAACTTTTGACCTAAATTTGATCATACTTGGACTGGGAAACAATTAACAAATTCTATGGAGTGTATATATACACAGCCCACACACATTCGGAGTTTCCCTATTCATTCACTCCTTCTTTGCGCCGAAAATTTTAAAAACCATTGTTTTTTTTATGATTAAGATGATGATGACGGCGACTGTGGAGTCGCCACCTGCCGCCGCCGCCCTGGGTTTCGCGGGTAATCTGCACTTACTCGCGGATGTGGCCATAGCGCAAGATGAGGCGGAGAAGGCCGCCGCTCTTGACAGGGAAATTCTGTCCCTCCGCCGCGTGGCCTCCGCCAAGCTCACACGGGAAAAGAGGGTTTTGGACAAGTTTATGGGAGACATCAAGAAGAAAGATTTCCTGAAGTTGGCCGCCTCTGTCATGCCCTGGACCCCACTTTCGGCGGCGGGCCACAAGAGGAAGAGGGAAACGTCTTATTCCCCGGAGCCCATAATAATTAATCGGGAAGAAGAAGAAGAAGAAGAAGAAGAGAAACAAGGGGAGAAGAAGAAGAAGAAATTGATCCTCAAGATAAAGACTCCTTCCTCGGCGAACAATGATAATAACAACAGCCCGAAACAGAGCCCAAAACAGAGGGTTGATAATATCCTTGTCCATCATCAAGGCCCGGCCACGGGCATGCCGGAGAGATTCAAGAATAAGATTCGGGAGCTAGCAGGGCCGGACGCGATAATTGGAGAGGAGAAGCTTCTGATAGAAAAGGCGCTGACGGAAAGCGACACGAGTTTACACCAGGCGAGGCTGACGATGCCGGAGAGGAGCATGCATATGGCAGAGAGGGAGTTTCTGACGGAGGAGGAGAAGCGGTTGGTGCGGCAGAAGGCGGCGACGGGGAACCAGTTGGAGGGGATTGACGCGACGCTGGTGGACCCGTTGCTGAGGAGGGGGTGGGGGGTGAAGCTGAAGAGGTGGGTGATGAGGAAAGGGGAGGGGAAGCGGAGCAGCGTGCTGTACGCCGTCAACGGCAAGTGGAAGGACGTGTTGGAAGGGATGGGTTGGGTTGGTAAAAAGGGGGAAGGCATCGTCGTCGTCGTCAGAGTCTGGAGTGTTCGGGTCAATGGACGCCTCTGGCTCGCAGTTGTCCAAGTATAAAACATACTGCGCGAGCTGATGAGGAGGAGGAAGAGGAGGAGGAGGACAAGAAACAACAATTAACTAACCTTTCATTCATTCATTCATTCATTTATCTTCATGCATGTCCATCTATCTATATATGGTCTAGGCGGTCTAGCTGCTGCTGGTTAATTAATTTGATCATTTGTGGTACGGTATAGATAACCACTTTGATCGTCTAGCTAAGCTACTAGCTGCATGGTATATTATTTACTTTGTGGTTTATTTTAACCTTTGTTATGGAGTATATGTATGTATGTATAAATATATATGGAGAGATTATTGCCACTAGCTAAAATAATGACATTTGTATATGTATGGCAGCAATGGAATTTGATCAGTTGAATTAATTTGTTAACTAGTGGGGGAAAAAAAAATATGATTTGATCATTCTCAACTAACCTAAAAGCTCCCCACTAGCTGCACCGCCTTAATTAGGTTTTTGATCAAATCATTACATTGGAGGATTCATTCAACAGATCCATTTAATAATGAATTTGTTAGGTGCGCGCACACACACACACACATATGCTGCGGGCATGCATGTGTTGTTTGAAGAAGGAGATTACAAAAGACCAGCAGGTAGCCTTAGTTGATAATGGAGTCATGCCACGTACGGAGAATAGAATATTTGCAACATTATTTACCATAATTTGTACTCTTTCAATTCGTTCTCAAAACACTCTTTCATTTTTTCCCACTTTCAACAAAACACTTCTACTTTCTATTAAAAAATCATTTTTATCTTTACTTTTTCATACTCTACCTATCACATCATACTTTTTCTCTAATAATCTATCGATCACATCTTACTTTTACCCATCACATCAAGGGCAAAATTGAAAGTCAATTATAATTTAACACTTCCTTAATCTTACATTTGGTCAAAATAGGAACTCTTTTTTAAAACGAAGGGAGTAATAGATTAGTTTTCACTGGTCATTGTTCAAGTAAATGTCTAGTGTTACTGTTAGAGATAGAAGAAGGAAGCGGGATTGAAGAAGGAAAGTGTTAGAGACAGAAGAAGGAAGCAGGATTGAAGAAGGAAACAAAATCCCTTTGGCATTAGGTTTAGTATCTTTCCTAGTTGGATTAGGTTTAGTATTTAGTATCTTTCCTAGTTTGTTTAATTCTTATTTTAGTAGGAATAGAAATTTCCTTATTTAGTTTACCCTCTTCCTATATAAAGAGGGTTAGATATTTATATTCAAAATAAGTTTCATAAGCCAATTCAATATACAGAGAATTTACTCCCAAAAATAATTCTTTCAAAAACTAAATATTGTTCAAACTAAATGTCCATCATCAGTGGACATTGTTCTCATCACTAGATTTTATTCAAATACTATTCATATTAGTGAATAAATAAGTTTAGGTGCTATATTGGAAAATTAAAATACATACTCCCTCCGTCCCATGAAACATGGGAGTTTTGCTTTTTAGGAGGAATTTAAGGGGAGTGTATTTTGGTATTGAATTTCCAAAAATGTCCTTTGATGTGATAGGTAAAAGAATAATTTGATGGATAGATTATTAGTATATAAGTATATTTATATCATAATATAGACATGTCACCTCTAGTTTTTTAGACCTTTTGATATAGTTTTTTAATATTTGATTTTTATTTTAAAATTTCACACCATTTTTCATATAAAATGATTTAAAAATAACTTCAGTCAAACATCGTAACGCGTAATGTAAAGTTTATTTATGGAGACGAAGGGTGAGAGTGTGATGGTGGCGGCGGCAGTGTGGTGACGAGGGAGGCAATGTGGCGGGGGAGGGAGATTATGGTGGCAGCATGGGGCAAGAGAAGACAATATGGTAAGTTAAATTAATATTCCCTCCGTTCCTTTAAATATGAGATGTTTTGATTTTGAAGAGATTTAAGGAGAGTGTATTTTGGTATTGAATTTCCAAAAATGTTTTTTGATGTGATGGGTCAAAGTACGATTTGATGGGTAAATTATTAGTAAAAAAGTATGATGTGATAGATAGGATATGAAAAAATATGTGGTAAAAGTGACTTTTTAATAGAAATAAGAAGTGTTTTTTGGGACGGGTGAAAAAAGAAAGAAGAAAGCCAATCTTTATTTTTTTGAATGTCCCGAAAAAATGTTATTCTTTTGAATTTCAAAAATAAAGGGAGGATTTTTTTGCAATTTTTATAAACTGTTGGCGTCGGTCCAAAATCATCTTACAGGGAAAAAAATGAATTTTCGAACATCCTACATAAGAGCCTGTTCAGCATACTTCAAGACTACACTTTCCTTTTTCTATAAGAGCAACTTTTTTTGTTTTTTTTTCATTTCATTTTCATATTATTTTTTCCTTTTCTTATACCTCGTGTATGTACGTCTTTTATCTATTTCCGTTTTCTTTTTTGAGTGTCCCAAAAAGGTGTTCTTTTTTATTTTGGAAAATAAAAATGAAAATATTTAATTTGGGAAAGATGAAGTATTTGTTAAATTTTTATTACATTTACTACAAAATATTTTTCTTTATCTAGATAACTACGGGCATTAATTTTTTTAAATATTTTTGAAATCGAATGGAAGAATTCTTTCTCAAGCATTGAAATTTTAAATAAGTGCACATTTAAAAAAATGCTTTCTAGCGTAATATGGTGAGCTTAACGTGATCTCACCGAAACAATTGTCATCTCATTGTAAGGTGCCATTTTAACTCATTACGTAGTACTATGTATTTCCTAGGGCAAATGAGAAACTTAACTAGAAAATAAATTTGGTTCAAATTTGTTAAAATTTAAAATGCAATTTTTTTTAAATAGGGAAAATATTTGGAAAGTTTTTTTTGGTAATTAGGAGGGCATAATTGTGAGATTTGGACACTCATGAATTGACTGGCAAGAAACTATAGTTAGAACTCACAGCGAGAATCTTGGAAACCCTTGACCTAATTTTGACCCTACTTGGACTCGGAAACAATCAACAAATTCTAAGCCATGGAGTGTACTGTATATATACACACCCACACGCACTCGGAGTTTCCCAATTCGTTCACTCGTTCCTTTGCGCCGAAAATCCGAAAAGAATTGTTTTTTTAATTTTATGATTATGACGATGATGACGGCGACTGTGGAGTCGCCACCTGCCGCCGCCGCCCTGGGTTTCGCGGGTAATCTGCACTTACTCGCGGATGTGGCCATAGCGCAAGATGAGGCGGAGAAGGCCGCCGCTCTTGACAGGGAAATTCTGTCCCTCCGCCGCGTGGCCGCCGCCAAGCTCACACGGGAAAAGAGGGTTTTGGACAAGTTTAAGGGAGACATCAAGAAGAAAGATTTCCTGAAGTTGGCCGCCTCTGTCATGCCCTGGACCCCACTTCCGGCGGCGGGCCACAAGAGGAAGAGAGAAACGTCTTATTCCCCGGAGCCCATAATAATTAATCGCCAAGAAGAAGAAGAAGAGAAACAAGGGGAGAAGAAGAAGAAATTGATCATCAAGATAAAGACTCCTGCGTCGGCAAACAACAGCCCGAAACAGAGCCCGAAACAGAGGGTTGATGATATCTTTGCCCATCAACAAGGCCCGGCCCCGGGCATGCCGGAGAGATTCAAGAATAAGATTCGGGAGCTAGCGGGGCCAAACGCTATAATTGGAGAGGAGAAGCTTCTGATAGAAAAGGCGCTGACGGAAAGCGACACAATGTTACTACAGGGGAGGCTGACCATGCCGGAGAGGAGCATGCATATGGCGGAGAGTGAGTTTCTGAGGGAGGATGAGAAGCGGTTGGTGCGGCTGAAGGTGGGAAACAAATTGGTGGGGATCGACGCGACGCTGATAGACCCGTTGCTGGGGAGGTGGGGGGTGAAGCTGAAGAGGTGGGATATGGGGAAAGGGGTGGGGAAGCGGAGCAGCGTGTCGTACGCCATCAACGATGGTTGGAACAAGGTACTGAAGGCACTTCATTGGGAAGATGGGAATGGGGATGGGATCATCGTTCAAGTATGGAGCATTCGCGTCAATGGAAGCCTTTGGGTCGCAGTCGTGAGGCCATAGCTTTGTTTTTTTTTAGTCTGATAGATCATCGAGGACGAGGAGGAAGATGACGACAACAGCATAATCATTCATTCATTCAGTCGTTTATGGTTTAATATGGCCCTTTAATTTGTGTAGTTTAATTTAAATTGCAGAAACTTTGTTCATGTTGAATTTGCCACGGTTCGGTTGGTTCATCAGACCGCATATACGAGATGAATTGTTGTTGTTTGTAGGGATTAATTAATATGATCATTACCTTGATGGGGCTGCAGTTTTAGTATTGATTGCAATTAGCTAGATTTGGGGGTGAGTGTATATATAGACATGCCATGCAATAATTAATGTCATCTGTGTTGTGCTTAATTAAATTGTACTCCGTACATAACTATTGTTGTTCCTTTATTGGGAAACTCTAATCTACTGCATTATGCTGCTTCTATATCTGATCTATATTCATTATTTGTCTCTTTTATGTTGCAATGGAATCAAATGTTTTCCCTTCCATAGTGACTGTGGTTTTGAGCTCCATCTTATTATTATGATAATCTAATTGATAAGCTTTGAGTTTCTTAATTGGTCTTGAAATTGCTTCTTCTTTTCTTGGCATTCACATTTCATTTGCCTTCTAACACCATATAGTTTTTTTTCCATATACCTTCAGAAATCTCTTCTTGAATTGTTTCTCTTATAATTTATCTCACATCGAAAAATTGAGAAGATTATAACATGTTTATCCACATCAAAAATTAGAGAAAGATATAATGAGTTCATAAGAGGTCTTGAGTTAAACTCGTTAAACTTATCATCACCATCATCCATTATCATCATCATCAAACTCTTTCTCCTTTTTTTGGGTTCCACAATTCATTTCTTCTTTTTATTAAAAATCACTTTCTACTTTTAATTCTTATCATGTCTATCACATCATTCTTATTTATAATAATAATCTACTCATCATATCTACTCATCATATCATATTTTTAGGGAGAAAGACTAAACTAGGACTAAAACGTTGAAAATATACCAAAATAAGACTTTTATGTTTTTATTCCTGAAATAGGACTTACATTACCAAACATGGTCATATACATTACCAAAAAAGTATAGTAATTTACACATGTACACTGTCACATTACTACAATGCAAAGTCACATTACCACAGTGCAAAGTCCTATTTCGAGAAAAAAACATGAAAGTCCTATTTTGGTACTTTTCTTTATGTTTTAGTCCTATTTAGGATGATTTCTTTATGTTTTAATCAATACTTATTTGGAAAAGTGCACCCAAAATTATTCATTTCTTTAATCATACTCTCTCCATCCCTAAATGTTTACCACATTTTTAAAAACGAGGCAAAACATTAAGTTTTTTCAATTATTTTTATCTAAGTATTTGTATAGAAATAAAAAACAAAATTTACATAATTAAAAACTATATTAAAAAAATATTCAAAATAAGAGGTGTCAATAATATTTTATTTTATTAAATAACTAATGAAAATGTACAAATAAGCAAAAGATTCTGTGACTTTTAAAAAAGTAAATGTAACAAACATTTTGGGACAGAAGAAGTATAAAAGTCAAAATTAGAATGCCGCTACGGACCGCTGATAATTAAGGGTTCACATTTTCATATAACATTGTCATTAATTTTCCATCACACTTCCATTATACTCATATTTTAATTTTAAAAGACTTAAAATTCGTTTTTTGATATCTTATTTTTTTTACTTCTGTACAGAGTGATTTCTTTATTAAAAATGAGAAACGTGTTTGCACATCGACCCTAGTACAGTAAAATAGGACAGTAAAATTTGTACTCTCTCCGTCCCGTAGTATTCGTTCAATTTTGACTTTTGGAACTGTTCATCTAATCACTTTGATTCATCAAATTCTCTTAATGTGTAAGCCTAAATATAGTCACGTGTGATCTTGTTTGATTTGTCTTAACATATATATTATCAATATATAATTTCTATAACTTTTTAATATACAAATTACAAGAAAAAATAGATTAAAAAAGTATATTAGATGGTATGTAAACATGAAATTAAACAAATACTAGGAAACGGAGGTAGTAATAATTATTGACCAAAAAAGTTAAATGGAAAAAAAGTCCGGACGACTTTTAGAGGATCGAACCAATCCGACCCATTCGGTCCTCGGGTTCAGTCATCTCTGCTCGAGTACAAGTAATCTAGGACTAGGAGTAATTAGCTCCGTAAAATAATGCGGTTAATTACGGAGTACTCCGAAATAATTACCCGAGTACAGTAATAATTAATCGACTTCTTCCAGCCCCTTGTAAAGAGTTGACAGATTGTAAATTAAATGTCGTGGTAAATAGCTATCTTTCTGAGCTCTCGCTCTCTGTAATCTCCATTTTCAAACCCTTCAATTCTACGCATCTCCGTCCCCCTGGATGAAATCTAGGGTTTCCAGCTCTCCGGTAAAGCTCAATCGCTGTTCGCTGCGGTAAACTTCTCCATTTCTCACTTCGAAGGTGTGTCCAAGCTTCAATCTATCTCATTAGCATTCAACTGTTTTTTTTTTTTCTCGAAAATTTACATTTAGTTTAAATGTTAGAACTCTTTGCGCTGTTTGATATGCATGAAAAACAATGCCTGTTGCTGTTTGGTCCTTGAAGCTGGAATTGAAAGCTTGGCTGTTTTTTTAATACTGGTTTTGTAGAGAAAGTTTTGTTACTCTGTTTCTATTTGTGCCTCCGTGTGTAGATGATGAATTTGACTGTTTTTCACTAATTGTAGGGGGAAAATGTTGATATATTAACATAACAATTATGCTTTTTTTGGCGTTTACAACATCGGCTTCCTTTGTGCCTTCTGCTACGAGCAAATTCAACTTTGAAGTTAGAGATTCGTCTTAATAATATACTACATAGTAGATGATTGCAATGCTGAGGGTTTCATTCTGTTTAGAAGTGTTATCTGCTATGCCATTGGATCATTAAAATGTAAAACAACAACAACAACAACCCAATTGGATCCCACTACAGTAGGGTCTGGGATCCAACTGGGTTGTTGTTTTATATTTTAATGATCCAATGTCACAGCAGATAACACTTCTAAACAGAATGAAACCCTCAGCATTGCAATCATCTACTATGTAGTATATTATTTAAGACGAATCTCTAACTTCAAAGTTGAATTTGCTCGTAGCAGAAGGCACAAAGGAAGACGATGTTGTAAACGCCAAAAAAAAGCATAATTGTTATGTTAATATATCAACATTTTCTCCCTACAATTAGTGAAAAACAGCCAAATTCATCACCTACACACGGAGGCACGAATAGAAATAGAGTAACAAAACTTTCTCTACAAAACTAGTATTAAAAAAACAGCCAAGCTTTCAATTCCAGCTTCAAGGACCAATCAGCAACAGGCATTGTTTTTCATGCATATCAAACAGCGCAAAGAGTTCTAACATTTAAACTAAATGCAAATTTTCGAGAACCAAAAAAAAACAGTTGAATGCTAATGAGATAGATTGCACTTAGAATGTATAGTATGGTATTTTTTTTGAAATATTTGCACTAAATAGCACTAAAACTTAACTCATTTCTCTAAATACTCCGTAGCACTTAAATTGTTTTATTCCCTAAATAGTACTTAATAATGTACATAATGTCTTGTGATGGCGAATATTTGCTTGAATAATGACTAATGGATAATGACTAAAAGTGCTATATTGGGAAAAAAACACATGTAGTGCTATTTAGGGAAAATCATTATGTTTTAGTGCTATTTACGTAAATTCCTCTTTTTGTTTTACTTGGGCCCAACCTGTTAATACAATCATGTTAAAATTGTTAAAACACATCCTGTGATGTTCCTTGATTCTAATTCCTGGATAGTTTTGGGGAAGGAAAATCTGGAATGTAGATGTGGTGTGCAAGTTTTCATGACTGTTATGAATTAAGGTAGTACAATGCCAGATGGAGCATAGACTTGCTAGACTTTTGTTCTTTAAATTGATCTATAAATACATTAAAACCCATCTAAATATGGATAGGATTAGGACCAAAGCGGTCATATTTTAATTGAGAGGTTATAATTAAATAGGGATATTGGTACAATTAAATCGTATCGCCATTAAGAACCATGAAGAAGTTTATTCAAACTCCGCTAACAAATCACGTTAATAATAATCACAATAAGAGGTCCATGTTTTTTTTACGCATAATAGAAGAAATGTGCAAATGTAATACACAATTAAAAATGTAAAATACAATATAACTTGTATATTACGAACTCTAAGCATTAAAGCCCGTCATAGGTAAATGCAGTAGTCATTTAAAATTGTCTCCCTATTTTTTCAATCTAAAATGCTATTTATATGTTTGAAAAAATGTGTGTGTGTGTGTGATGTGCACGGTTGTGTGTTGCTATAAGAATGAACTCTTTCATAATGTGGGATGTAAAAAATGTACCCATATAACTTTTTAGTACTAGTCAGAGTTTATGTCTTATTATAACTGGCAAAACTTGGGACCAGATTTTTTATACTCGGTATTAATTATTAACAGAGGTTATTCTTGTACTCTGTATTGACTAGTATCTGAGGGGAGGATTTACAGTGAAGTGATTGTTCTCAACTCTCAAGAGTGTTTCTGAGGGGTCTACAAGGGAGTAAGGAAGCCTGGTTATTTTGACTATTTTCTCCTTAAGTTCTGGAAATGAGCAATGCTATTCAAATGGACAACTCTAGTCCCCAGCTACAACTAGCTCTCCCTGTGAAGCGTCGAAGAGGTAGACCAAGGAAGGATCAGAGCCCAAGTCATAGAAGGGATGCTCCTATAGTTCCACCTGGCATGGAAAGAAATACTCAAAACCCTGCTCATCAAGTGGATGCAATGGTAGGTCAGGCAGTTACAGGTATAATAGAAGCCTCTTTTGATGCTGGGTTTCTGCTCAGTGTTACTATCGGAGACTCCAAAACCAAGCTTAGAGGCATTGTCTTTAAACCGGGACATTATGTCCCAATAACATCAGAAAATGATATCGCCCCACATGTAGAGATGATACACAGAAACGAAATCCGTCTTCCTGTTGGAAATAAAGTACGTAGGCGTAGGCGTTACAAACACAAGGCCGAGTTCAACGAGTCAAAAGATAATCAGTTGTCTACTATAGTGTTGGCTCCTTCTGTCCCTCCTGTGGGGGCCAGAGGAACCGTGGTTCCTGTTGTGCTCCAACCGGCCAACCTAACCAACCGGTTAGCAAGGTCTGGTCAGGAACCGTTGGACGTGTCCCGGGCTAATGTGGAAACTTTAAGGGGGAAAAGCGTGCAGATGTTTGCACCATTAGCTATGTTACCACCTGATGGATCAACATCCATGATCAGCAGCCATGGAGTAGAAAATGTGCAAAATCAAAGAAGAGCCGGGGAAGAGACAAACCCGTTAGCATCTCGCAACAATGAAGTTATTATGCCTGGTGGTGATTCTGACAGAAGCCATGGATATACCCAACCAACACAAAGTTCAAGTGTGAGAAGAGAAAAAAAGGACATGAATGAGCGCCCATCAACAGAACCCCTTGAAGTTTCAGATTCCAAAAATCTTCTCCATTACGGCACTGGCAATATGACTAAGCTTTTACAGGTAAATATGCATTTCATTTTTACGACTTCTGGATCGAACCATCAAAAGATGGTGTAATCTCTCAATTAAGTATATACAAAGATGAAAACTATCAATTTAGCATTTGAATGATAGAAACTACCATTTTATTACAAAAAAATCATGAATATTGAACTCTTTTTGTTTTAAATTATAGTGTTAACTTTCAATGAAAATTCCTTCACAGATTATACACAGTATATCAAATGTAATAAAGAATGGAGTATAGTTAAGATACTCATAATTCATTTTTTTTAGAATTAGATTGATCGTCTAAATCATTTTGGTCTTAAATCGATAGTTTTCATCTCAAATTCTTGGATTGATTGGATAGATCGATAATCAATCTTTCGGGTCCCCAACCAGAAACTCCCTAAGCATCTATCCATGAACGTATAATACACATTTTTCATTCTGGCTTGCATCCAAATGGCTTGCTAAAATATAATGCTATATTGTGAAGGTTATGCAGGAGAAAATGGTAGGGAACAAAGAGCACGAGTCTGACTCGGCTGCTGGCCTGAAAACTAAGTCCTGATTGTAATGAAATTCCCAGAGACAAAAGCCAAGAAGAAAGGTATTCCCAGAGTGTTTGTTGATAATACCCATACCCATAAATGTGTAAGCAGTCTCTTGTACTTGGAGGACAAAAAAGAGAGACCTGAAAATTTCTGATAGTCGATATGTTGTTGACTTGTGGATTTAGAGTTTGTTGATGTTGTATAAATTACATCTTGAAACTCTTCACTTTAATGTGCCTCTACATATGTTGTTTGTTTTTTTTTTTACGAAGGAAAAAAGTGTTGGGGACAAAGTTGCGGCACATGTGTGGCATTGTAGACAGTTCAATTTAATATAAAAACAAATGAGTTTTAAAAATAAATGTACTAATTTTAGATAGCAACAACAAACTCAATAGAATCCAAAAAGACAATAGTTTTTAAATTTGAAAAATATTATTTGTAAATTCCACACCAACTCTTAAATAAGTTAAAAATTGAGAATAACTTCATTAAAACACAACAATAAATTTATATTGAGATAATATTGTTTTTTTTGTTGATATAGATGGTAAAGTTTTGGCAAATTCTATAAATCTTTCTAATTTGCTCTGTTAAAAATGTTGCTCTTGGAGTCTCTGTAATTGCAAAAATATCACTCCGTGTGTACTAGAAATTGATAATTAAACATGCTAATATAAACGACCAACTGACAATTGCTATCTTTTTTTTGCCAAACAAGCCATAATAGTAAAGTTTAAATCCACTCCATTCAAATGGGAGAATACTTCTTGTTATTGATGGCCTTTTAGGCCACTCCGTTCACCTGATCTGATTTAATCTTTTGAAGATATTATCTAGTCTGATCTAATCTAATTGCAGTTATAACTAAAAATATTTTTGATCTGATTATAACAAAAATAAGTAATAAGCAGAAAAAATAAATTGGCCCTAGGCATTTCAATGAAAAAAGTAGAAAATGAAGTTATCTTACTATGCATTTCAAAACTGAAACCCATCGCTCACCTCTATTACTCTATAATCCTTCTATGTTTGGGGAAAAAAACACTGAAAGTTTACACAATCACAATTCACAGAATGGCCAAAATTCAATTTACAATGTTCAATCTCACATTTAAAAAAATGATGTTCCGTAAAAGCATTGAAAATGAATGAGGGTAAGTCGTAAGAATCAAATCAAAGCGCCAAAACTTGCCGGATTTGAACAAAAAAACGCGGCAGATGGTAATGTCGTTGCTGACATCATGCATATTTCGGGCCGAAATAACCATTGGACCACGGAACTTGCACCGGGCGCATTACGGGAAATGAAGGGTGTGAGAGTGGAACTTGACTTGGTATTGTATATGTTTGCTGTGTGGCCGCTATGTATGGAGGAGCCACACAAAGTGGCAATGTTTGTGCCACAGCATTTCCTGCAGCATAAGATTTGTGTTAATTACATGGGCAACTGAAATAATAACTCAAACAACTTAAGCAAAACAAAAAAAAGAAAAAAGAAAAGAAAGAAATCCCTCTGTCAAAAAAAAAGAATGTTTTGTTTTTGGTCTGAATGACAATGTTACTCTGCCCAAGTAAAAGGTTGTGACTTTTTGTAGGACAGGAGTACTTATTTGTCCATTGCCAAGGGAGCTAAATATGTCATTATTAACAATGTTTAGTTTCAGGCACATAATGGACTAAATCAATATGGAACATTAAACTTCCCTTGCTTCTTACATTATGTGAAGTTTTGGGTAGTCAATGCAGTTATGCATTTAAGGTTAAACAGAAACAGTCACTCTGTTTTAACAAGGATGAAACTGCATATTCGTGGCCCCCAAACCCCAAGAGAGTTGAGATTATACTGTGTTGTTGTAGTTGTAATGAGCATTACTTAGATGTTATCAATGTAGAAAATCTTCACAGCACTACCCCTTATTAAGGTCTATTCATCATTCAAGATGAACTTGCATGGGAGTCCAAGAGAAGGGGCAAAAATGAAAAAAACTAGCATTAAATACTTTCTTGATTTTATACAACCACCCAACTTGTGAACCAAAAAAAAAACATCCAAAACAGCACATATAAATATATAATGAAACAGAAATCTGAAGGAGCAATAACTGCTCCCTCTGTCCCACTATGCCTCATTTCTATTTTGGTCCGTCCCAAAAGGTTTGTCCCAGTCCATATTTGTGATGTTTGTTTGGTCCAAAATCATCCTTTTTCCACATTTCATACAATTAATATCAACCACACAATTCCACTTTTTCTTATTTTACGTGCCACCATCCAATGTCCCAAACTTGGAGTAACATATGTGAATTGCAAAAACTTTTAAAAACACGTAGATTTGGATTAGTAGTCCACAACAAACAAGAGTTTATCCGAGATCACATGGTCAGTAGATTTTGTATGAATATTAGATTAAATACCTTGATGTTTAGTCAAATGGGCCTGAAAGGGGTTTAACAAAGGACATGAGGATACTTGAGAGAGCCCTGGTGCACTCTGCACAACACCCTAAGACATAAACACAGAGGAACCAGTAAATAAACATTAAATAATACAAAAAAAACCTAAGATAAAGAAAAGAATATGTTTTTCTGACAATGTCTAGATTTTCAGAATGTCTTACATGAGAAACAGGATGCACATACACAACTGGCCCCAATCGTCCGACCATTACCTACAAGAATATCATTGCATGTCAAAAAATGAATAAAAGCTACATACACACTCTTACAGGAAATAGTTTTTTGTGTTAGGTGTATCTCAGAAAATATGAATGAGAATAAAATTTGATTTATAAAAAATTGTGACATACTCCCTCCGTCCCAGAATGAAGTTTACACTTTCTTTTTAGAATATCTGAAAACAAAGATTGCACTTCCTTACTTTCATAGGAAAATAATGTGTGGCTCACAACATTTCCCTCTTTTCCAAAAAAAATTCGACCAAACGATTTACTTTTCAACACTTAAACCATAACCTTCATTTTGAGACAGAGTGAATAGATTTTGATCTTTATATAACAGAAATGTATAAATAAAATTGAGTTTGGACAAATATCTAAATTGAATTTGGACCAATTCTACTTCTCCCCACAGTTTATTTCAAATTTCCCCTAGAACCCCCTCTATTTTCGTTCCATAAACATTTTCTGGGATCTAAAGGGACCCTAGAAAACACAATACAAGCAGGAAAAAGTGAAAGCTACCGGCTCTCTAAGTAAATGAGACTATACACATTGGATGTATCATACACCATATACAATAACGACCAATACTTCCCAAACAAAAGCTAGATTAATTAAAGTTAGAGGTAAGGAAATTAATCACTATGGTTGCATACATTTTCTGAGTTAGGATGCATATAACCAGTCCCAGCTGGAAGTTGATGATACTGACTAGTATACCTAGTTGGCACTGTTCTGTTCCCCGCATATCCGAATCCCTACGCATATATAGGTACCAAAAAAGAATTAGATGGTACGTAAAAGAATCAAAGACCAAATATATTTGAGATCTACAGCAGAAATCACTCAAATGGACAACTATAGAAGTAAACTTACAGGTTGAACATACTGTACATCAATGTTGCTGTTTCCTGCTATTACATTGTTACATTGGATAAGCTTAATAGGGAAAGAAGATCGAGGAGGAGCAAATGGACTGATTTCAAGTTCAGGTCCGGGAGTAGCAACAGGTACCGTGTTACAACACTCCGGCACATAAGCCATTGTTGGCATTGCAGGAGGGTTAACAGCTCTTTGGTTACTAAGTGATGGATGGAATATCTTGGCCCCTGGGTTGAGCTTAGACTCCTGGCATGAAGGATAAGACTCAAAAATTAAATTGCAGCGCCCTATGATTTATGAACTGGGTGCCAAATACTTCTACACAAACACAGGCTAAATTACTAGCAAGATGGACCAAACAGCAACAACATCCAAGATACCTTTGCAGCTTTGTTACAAATTGAATTTCTTGGAGGCACTAGATCACGTTGAACATGTGATGAATCCGGGCGCACTTTAGAAGACTTGACATCTGAAACAGATGTGCCATCTTTCAGAACACGAGATAGAGGAGTAGCAGCACTTTGATTGTTTTCTATGCTATGCTGTTCATTAATGTTCTGTTCAAATGACACAATTGGAGAGTCAGAACACACATTAGCTGTTGACTCAGCTTTGGATTGAGATTTACACACATGCACTGCAAAAAGAGAGAGAACATTTATCCCATGTTGAAAATAACCCATGGCGGAGAATATGAATCGAGAAAATCCATCATATCACAATTGAAAATGAACGATAGCAAAAAAAATCTACGAACTATACTCACAATGTGTGTTTGATCTTGGATCTTCTTGCAGCTGCAAATCATTAGAGAATGAAATTACTGCAAGGCATGCAGAAAAATTGAAATCCTGAATTCTTTATTAATGCATCCACATTGGGAATATGTTCGAGGGATATTATCAACAATGTCTACAATTCTACAGGGAGTAGCTCTAACCACTGTAGAATGGATACTTGAGGGTGCGACAGAAATGGGGGGATGGTATTTATCATCTGGAATTTGGATAGAGAAATGTGGATGCTCTAAGGCAATCATCAATATGTATAAAGTTGATTGTAGTTTGGTACATTTGTACTTACAATTTGCCCTTTGTGAACCACAGGTATCTCCCCATTCTCAGTTAACCCGTTATTCTTGCTTTCTTGAGTCCTATCAGAATTCAGAAGTGAAATATGGCAGAAAAAGCATCAATATTATGCCCTTGAATCTCAAATACTAATAGAGACTACCCTTTGGCTTAAGTGGTAAAATGTTGCAAAGAAGCCAACCTTATTCTATTGGGCTCATTAGGCTTTAAAGACTCCACCTCCCTCTCTACATCCTCAGCAGAATGAATATCATCAACTACAGCTCCTCCATCATCACCCTTTACATATCCAGTGATATGATCAGCGGGATGTGTAATTCCCTGTAAAGAGGAATATTGTGTGTATGGGGAAATCTCTTAAGCCATATATTGGCACTTATGTGTGGAAAAATGTCTTAAGTCATATATTGGCATGTGATGATGCAAAGGGAAATCTGCAGATACCTTAGCAACAACTTGTGCGAGATCTTCTGATAGAATCATAAGTGTCTCGATCACATTTCCTCTGGTTACATTTGCCTCTCGACTCCCCTTCTTGATCATCATTGCTTTCTTCAAAACAATAGCTAAACACAAATGGAATGAAAAAAAGTCAATTCAACCCATTTTCTATGGAGAGCACACTGTTTTCCATATGAAGACCATTGGATTTCCAGACAATTTACGGGATCAACTTGGTGTTAGAAATCCAATGGTGGCATACATATGGAGGGAGAGCCAGTGAAACCCCTCTCTTGCGGAAATTGGAATCATTCTAGGTGTAGTGTTTGGTGTACAACTTGGATGATATTTTGACAATGGTTTTACGATTTTAAACTTAGAAAAAAATTACCTTGCTCGTAGAGGGAGGGAAATGTACTCAGTAGTAAAGATACAGTTGAAATGTTATCATATGTCATTGTCCACACAAAGATATACACTTAACAGTACTCATATTATTCTTCAGCCTTACACATAGAGTGACAAACAGATTGGACCACATTTGTGGAGCATCCCCTCATAGAAAAACTCAGAAAAATACCAGTAATACGCACTTAAGCACACAATAAGAACCCTAATGTCCTAAGCCCAACAAACATATAAAAGTAATTGATTCTAATTGCGGGATTATTTAATCCACCTGAGTGTGAATATCAACCAGGTGAGGCGGGGAGCAAACTGAAACTCCGCCCCAGCCCAAAAATTCAAATCAGATATCAAAACTATCCAATCAAATGCATTTTCGAACCACCCTCCATAGAAAAAAAAAATCAGTAAAAGACCATAATAATAAGCACAATAAGATCCAAAATACCCTAAATCCAACGAATCATTGAATCTAATTGCGGGGCTAAAAAATCCAATCTTGGTTTGAATATCAACAGGGGATCGCAAATTCAGATCAGATATCAAAACGCTCCAATCGATAACAATCAGAGCCGACACAAAAACTCAAGGAATCGAAATGTGAGCATGACAGATTTAAAAACAACTAATGGGACCTCCTCGCCTGCAACAACTCACCGTAGTTGTTGTCGTCCACAGAGGCAGTGTGGAATATGCCGGAATAAATGGAGCCATCCTTGACATGAACATCGACAGGAAGGCCGACGATGCACATTGTGGTGAGCAACAACACGTCGGAGACGGCGGCGGCGTTTGCTTCTTCTGCAACTCCTCCTTGTCTGCAGCCCATTTCTGATCACTCTCGCCAAATTATAATTATGATAACTATGATATGAAGCTTTTTCGAAGAGAACTCAATTGTTTCACTGCACAAGACGTGCAACTGCTAATAATCTGCTATATACCTTTGGGATGGATGGGTGGACAGAGGGAATGAATCAAAACGCACTGGCAAGCGGCAACTCTCTTTTCTTTTTTTCAGGATCTGGGTTTCCCTTGTGCATTTTAAAAAAAGTCATGTGTTTGCTAAAGAAATTTAATGGAAATTTGTAGAAAAAGGTTGGAATCTATGAAAATACCCTCACCATCCTTAACACTATGTTTGGGTCAAGGATTTTGGAAGGAAAAGAAAAGAAAAATAGTTTTCTCTCATTTTCCTCGCCTAAATGGAAGGAATTTGATTTTCCCTCCACTTAATACATTTTGCCTCCTCGTTTTCTTTTCCTTCCACTTTTTCTTTCTTTTCCCCTCTAACCAAACAAGAAAAATGGTTTTCCACTTCATTTTCTTTTCTTTTCCCTTTCAAATTCCTTGAACCAAACATAATGTAAAAGAATTGCATTATAGAAATGAGAAATAAAATTTGTTTCAAGCTTAGATTCAATTTTTAGAAAAATTAAATAAAAATACGGAGTATCAAGATAATATTGTTTGTTTGTTGATATAATCAAAGCACAATATTAAAATTCCAAAGAACTAAACCACATTATCTGTCTTCCACTTAACCCTCTCGCCATCACTTTAAAAAAGACTCACCCTTTGAAGTTCTTCTACACTTCTCTTATTCTAGTTTTTTTTTTCAATCCACACCCAAGCAAGGAAATATGGGTCAATAGGTGAAACTCATCGTCTTGAGTTATGACAATAACTAAATATTTTTATAGCATGACTAAAGAAACATGGTATCCATAGCGATCTCACCCCTCAATGTTGAAAGCAAAAAGATACAAAAAGCTTTGTTGTCACGTTCATGGATACGATTCTTATTTGTTTTACTCAACATATACAATGATAATATAAACATTTGATATCTTGTGATGTTCCTACTTAAGGCTTTGCATATGTTATGGGTATACTTTTATTTCTCGTGAAATTCATGATGGTTTTGAGTCTATTTATTTATTACGTAATTTGTACAATTTCTAATATGAAATTTTGAAATGTATCTCAAGATAGTTTTACTGTGCGATTATGATAACCGACTGCATGATTATGTATCCTATTGTATTTTCTTACCATGGATCCATAATAGTTTCTTATAATATAAGTCATCATCAACCAAGTCCATTTATCACTCTTTCATTTTAAAACATATGTATTAGCTTGTTGTTTCTCTTCACTGCCCTTGTTTTAAAATGATCTTAGATGGACACATTAACCAACTTTTCTTTTGTTCTTTGCCAGCAAACTCAACTCTAATAGTCAAATTTGATCTTTAGCCAAAGGTACCATTTGTAGCCACATCTCGCTTACCACGAGCAGACATTTACTCGCAGCCCAACCAATGACTATGTCTTGAAGTACAATTTCCTCCTGACCACGTCTTGATTCTTCATTAACAACAATGGGCTACTTCATCAAAAAATGCAAGGCTCAATGGCTTTATTCAGGCCCAAAAAATCAAATTCTTCTTTGTGCTCTAGCTACTTGCACCATTTTGACATGCAAAGTTATAAAACTTTGTTTTAATTACGGAGTATATGAAAAATAAATGGAGTACTTCACCCGAGTCAATAATTAAGTGGTATATATATTATACCTCACTTAAATTAAATATACAAACATGTCATTATATCCTCTCATTTTGATGGAGGGTATTCTCAAAGAGAGAGAACCTTGCTTTGGTTAAAAAGGGGAATCCCTCTCTCGACGTAGTCCTCTATACTCTCATTTCATTCACAGCGCCATTTCTCCACATAGAGAAACCCACTTTAATTACTAATTAAAGGACATGTCATGAGAAAAAAGACTTGTGATGGATAGCTTGACATTTTTTTGGGTTGATGATTTTCAAATGCCAAATATGTTCATTTCACTTTTTTTTTACTTGTAAAAGAGAAGCATGAGATGAGATGACAAGTTGGCAACCTCTTAGTCATAAAGAGCATTATTAAAAGATGATTAGTGTATGAGCTACACTCCATTATTGGTCTTTCAACTTTATCAGTTGTGCACAATTAGTCCTTTTAGTTTCAAAAGTCCATAAATAGTCCTTTTACTTTATGAGTTATCAGTTATGCACGATTGGTCCTTCAAATTTCAAAAGTTCATAAATAGTCCTTCAAGTCCACTTCAGCCCTCCAGATGAGGTCCTTTTGACGGTAAACGTTAAAAGCTAAATGGAGTACTAGCTTCATATAATACGCAGTAGTCGTACCTAGTGGAACTTACTCATATTATATGGAACTAGTATTCCATTTAGCTTTTAATGTTTACTGTCAAAATGACTTTATCTAGAGGATTGACGTGTACTTGAAGGACTACTTATGGACATTTGAAAGTTGAAGGATCAATCGTACACAACTCATAAAGTCGAAAGACTATTCATGGACTTTTAAAACTTGAATGACTAATCGTGCACAACCCATAAAGTTGAAGAACTAATGGTAAATTTTCATAAATAGAGAAGTTTGACATTAAAGAAAAATAACGTGAAATTCAATCTTTTTAAATGAAGTATGAGCTTTTTTGGAAATAACATTAAAGATAATTAGCGTTATCGTTTTAGATAAAATTTTAATGGTGTAGATTACTTTGAAAGCGATAACACTAAATGCTGTCCGTATTTAGCCTTTTCAAAACACTAACGTTAATCTGTACTCTGAATAGACCTTATATGAACACTTGCGAAATATGGTACAGAGTAATTCATAGTAAAAAAATAAAAATTAGGGAGTGTAGTTAAGGAAATAAAGTAGATAGGGTGAGAGTAAAAAACAATCCAACGTTACTCATGACCCGGCCAGGCCCATGCATTGTGGACACGGTTCAGGATATAATGTGCGCATCTCTGCAATTGCCCAACTCCTTCACCTAATTGGGTTCACTTCTCTCTCTCTCTAGGGTCCAGCCAGGATCGACCATGCAGCCGAACGGAGTTGCCCCGCCGCCGCCGATGGCTCCGATGCAGGCCAATCCGGCTCAACACCCATCGCAGTATCCGCCGTGGATGTCCGTTCCGCCACAGCAAGCGCTTCCTCCCGCCGTCTGGCCTCAGCAGCCGATGCCGCACGCCGTGCCTCTTCCTCATCACCCCCCGCCGATGCCGCACGCCATGTCTCTCCCGCAGCAAGTTCAACAGTACGGATCTCTTCCCTCCGCTGCTGCGGCTCCCGCCCCTGCATCTGCTTCCAACGAGATTAAATCTCTGTGGATCGGGGACTTGCAGCCCTGGATGGATGAGAACTATCTTAATGTCTGTTTCGCTCACACGGGAGAGGTGATTATATGTTTTTCGACTATTTAAAATTCATCCCTTTACTGGCATTAGATAGGTCTATTGATTGTTGAAAACAATCCGGCATCAATTTTGTGTTTTCTTTACTTGAAGACTAAAAGTAATCTTTTTTTTAACACAGATTTTAACAACTGCTGTCTAAATCGGCTACCTATAATGGCTAATTGGTTGTTTTATGGTTAATAGGAAACTAAGAAACATCAAATTTTAGGTTTTATTTTTTAGATCACTCTAAATCTGTCATTTGTTGTGTAGCAAGATGGATAAATTTGTTATCCCAGTGTATTTGATGAAAAAATTTTCTTTTGATTAAATATCAGTATATCACATGCGCTCAGCATTGTTTATTTTCTTCCAATGTCTGATGTATCTCTGGCTACCTTTATGACAGCTTGTCACCTCAAAGGTCATCCGTAACAAGTCAACTGGTCATTCTGAAAGTTATGGTTTTATCGAGTTCAGGAGTCGGGCAGCTGCAGAGACTATCTTACAATCGTATAATGGAGCTCTGATGCCAAATACTGACCAAAGCTTCAGGCTGAATTGGGCAACATTTGGTGCTGGCGAGCGGCGTGATGATACTCCAGATTTCACCATCTTTGTTGGAGATCTGGCTGCTGAAGTGACTGATGACTGCCTTGCTGAAACATTTAAAGCCACCTATTCATCAGTAAAAGGCGCAAAAGTTGTCACGGACAGGGAAACTGGGCTTTCAAAAGGCTATGGGTTTGTTAGGTTTGGAGATGAAAGCGATCAATTACGTGCCATGACTGAAATGAATGGTGCGATGTGCTTAACTAGGCCTATGAGGATTGGACCAGCTGCTAACAAGAACCCTGTGAATACACATCAGAAAGGTTTGTTGTCGCAGTTTATTCAGCATTGGCCTATTCATGCTTGATATTATGCTTAAAATGATAACTCTATCTTTTGGTTCATTGTTGTATTTGAGCTGGATATAAACTTGCTGTATTTTTCTGCCTGTTTTGTTTTTGTTTTAAACTCAATGATTCCCTAATCTTTCAGCAATAACAACAACCTAGTTGAATCCCACAAAAGTAGGGTTTGGGTAGGGTGTGTGTAGCAGACCTTTCCCCGGTCTTGACTTTTGAAATACAATTTGTTAAACCAATGAGTTCATAAGTTCATTCTTCGTGTCGCGGCTGATTGTGAAATCGGTGACTTCATTGTTGGTATTCTGGAAAGGCTTTTATCCTTCATAGAACTCAAAGTTGATAATAATTTCAGTTATTCATTTTACAGCCATATCTTCTAGACTTACCCATTACACAGTACACACTGCAAGGTTCTTGGAAATTTCAGAGTCGTTTCTTTCAACACTTTCCATTGTAGAGTTGGGCAACTTTAATTTTGGTAAAATTTGCCTGAACTTATAGAACTCATCTTGTCTCAAAGCAGGGACACATAGGCTCTCGTATATGGGAGCCTGGAACTGATTTCAGCTGAAATGATTCCACTTTATGCGTGGCCTCATTTTAGGTCAGTTAATTGTTTAAGCATTAACCTTCCTTACTTTTGCTTTTTTGTGGCATCCCTTGTGCTACATTAATTAGTATCCACATACTTATTAGTTACAGGACAGAGTAAATTCATTTTTACATTTTGCACATTTTCTTTAGTTGGTTTCCTAGCTCATTTATATCCTTCTCCATTAAGTACTGTTTGGCTATTTCTTTCCATCCTATCCATTAAAGAACACACCACAGTGCTCCTATTTTATGCTATTTCACATCAAAGGCAAATTTTAAGCATTAAAACATTCATATCAAGTTCAACCCTCATACTTCATATAATTCACGACTTCATTTCATATCAACAATTTTTTACAGCTTCCAGATATTGCTTTCATGTAACCCCATGCACTTTTGTTTTTCTGCACTTCGTTCCATGCTACAGGTTGTTTGCAGCTTCCTGATATTGTTTTCATGGGAAGCTGATTATTTTGGCTGATGCATATATGCTTGTCCTTTTCTCTAATATAATCCCTATTCAGTACTTCCTCCATTCTCAAAAACACTTCCTCTTTCATTTTTTCCACTTTCAACAAAACACTTCACGTTCTATTAAAAAACCACTCTTACCCTTACTTTTTCATACTTTACCTATCACATCATACTTTTTCTCTAATAATCTATCCATCACATTTTACTTTTACCCATCACATCAAGGGCAAAATTGGAACTCAACTACAATTTAACACTTATTTTTACACGTGGTCAAACTAGGAACTCTTTTTGAGAACGGAGGGAGTATATTGCTAGTGTTTTAGCTTTGGGCAAATAATGGTCCAAATCAAACGGAACATTAAACTTTTCTTGCTTCTTACTATCTACAAAGTTTTGGTAAGTAACACAACAATGCATCAAGGTTCTAACTGAAACAAGCTCTTTGTTTTTTACAAGACTGCGAACAATGTTGGGATTATACTTTGTTGTTGTTTTATATCGTATAACCCTCTATAACCCCTTAAGTTTGAATGAATAAGCTAATACATATCCTAGAAACCACTGTATATAGTAATACTCCCTCTATCCTATAAATTGAATTGAATAAACTTTAGCCAAACATCGTAAAATGAAACATGACAAGGTGGTTTAGTGGGAGTTTTTAATATGTGTTTGGATATACAATATACTATATCCACTATATAAATGTCACACATTGGTCTCAACTGGAGAGTTGGAGCTTTTCAGGGTTTGAATGCATTGCCGTATGGAGCAGTTGTCATTAATTTTTCACTTAATGCCCAACCAACAAGAATTTGAAAAACAATAAAATTATTTCTTTTTTTCCTTTTCATGCTATCCTCGTGGTTCATTGTTCATAATGAATGAATAGTTGTGCAATCAAAGTCTACTTGAAGAGGTCTGAAGAAAAATTTGCTATATACTCCCTCAGCCCTCCAATGTCCAAAATAAGATGGTAAACATGTTAATAACAGCAATAAAATAATCATTATGTCTTAGGGGGTTCGTATGGATCATATCAGTGTTTCATCTTCCTTTCAGTAGTCATTTGTTGTGTTTTTTGCTCACTATTCTCCTTTCAGCTATCTTATTTTTCAATCCAAATTCGGTTTGTGGTTTACTATACCAATATGAATAGGCAGTGTACCTGCTTTGGCACGGTAGTTAACAACTTGCCGCCATGTCTCTTTTTGTGATGTGTTTTATTCATTCTGTTGTGAAATTGAGGCTTGACTATACAACACATGACCATGCCTCTTTGATCATGTTCACTTGGCATAAGATTGGAATTTCTGTGTTTACTATGCCGATTTGAATATGTGGTTTTGCTGCTATGGTGTGGCAGTGAACAGTTTGCCACCATGGCTCTTTGTTTGGTCTTTTAACCATTCATTTGTGATATTTGTGCTTGTATAGCAACATGACTGATTTTCTAATTTCATTTGCATTAGACTTTGCTCATGCCCTATCATTTTTTGTCACTGTAGCTACTTATCAAACTCCTCAAGCTAATCAAGGAGAGAGTGACCCTAATAATACAACAGTGGGTAGCTTGTCTCAAACTCATATATGATTAAGTATCTTAATTATTCAAGGTTTAACGCAAATGTTAATGCAGATATTTGTTGGGGGTTTAGACCCAAATGTTTCGGAGGATCTTCTGAGAAGTGTGTTCTCACCGTATGGCGAACTAGTTCATGTCAAAATAGTTGCAGCTAAGCGCTGTGGTTTTGTCCAATTTTCTAACAGGTATTAGTTTGGAACTCAGGAAATGGTACAAATGAAAAAAATGTTAAGCATTTTTTAAATTCTTGGTTTTACATTGGCAAGTATAATTGAAAACTAAAGCTGACTAAAACATTTCGATCTGGGAAAAAAAAATACTATGGTAGTTATATACTCCGTATGTAAAATGGGTTTGAACATATTAAAAGCTGATTGGTGCATCTAATTCCACACCCTAAATTGCTGAATTTTCTAAATCCACTATAGAGATGATAAATCTCAAATTTATACAGGTGTGTGGATTTAGCAAGTTTTCCCCCATTTTTTCCCTCTCTGAACTTCTCCTACATTTTCCTTGCTGTTTTCGTGCCTTGGCGTTCTGTACTCCAAAAGTGCATTTATTCTATGTTGGATTTGAGGCAAACTTTAATAAATTGGTGAACTTAAGTGAGTTAACTCTATGATCCTAGGTGAGCTGAGGTGCATGTACAAAATGTTTGAATAGTTTAGGATAACCTTGGTGAATGTAATAAAAGGTTGTATGGATGGAGGTTCTATATCTGAATTACTTGCAAGCCGAACCCAATCTCGGAAACCCCTTTGTTCTGTGTTTCTTTAAAAATGGGTCTTCAGAGTTTCTCAAATGAGGTGCACCACAAAGAAAACTGTAAAAAACCTAGGTTTACCTCCATCCAATTACTCATTTAGGGTGTTTGTATCTTAAGCATTCCGTTGTCATATCCAGGCCTTCTGCTGAGCAGGCTCTATTAGGCCTTCAGGGAGCACTGTTAGGAGAGCAAAACGTCCGTCTTTCTTGGGGACGCAACCCGTCTAACAAAATTGTGGGCCAGACTCAGTGGGGCAACAGTGGTAGTGCGGGGGGTGCTTATTATGGTGGGTATGCCCAAGGGTATGATGCATATGGTGGATATGCTGCACCGGCACAGGACCCTAGCATGTACTATGGAGGTTACCCTGGATATGCAAATTACCAACAGCCACCACAGGTATTTATATTATGTGGAGTATATAAAAATCAACTTTTTTCTTTTCTTTTCCAAAATTAATAAATAAAGTGATGAGAGTAATGACGGAAATATTGGGTGTCCTTTGTTATTTTCAGTGAGAGCATCTAATGTTGGAGTGCTGGAGATGAAGATGCCATGGCGGCAAGGTCTGTTCTCTCGTTCATCTGTGTAAAATGACTGGTCATTATCATGACGCTTGGTGACTGGCGTGCCAGTCAGATTTCTCTCTTTTTGTTTGTGTTTTTTTTTTGGAATTTGGATCTGCTTAAGTACTTAATAGAGTAACGTGCGGATGCTGGATTAAGCGGATTAGTCCATGTGCGACCGTTTCTTGGTCTGATTTGTGATGTTAGAGTACTCATATTGCTTGATATTTGGCTAGCTTTTTTGGTTGATTTGCTTTTGTGGTATTACATGAGTTGAGTTATTTATCATGTTATTCTTTTTGGTGATATGCATGGGCTTGTGGGTACATTATTCCGCAATTATAAGAAAATCAAATTTTCCTTTTCTAAAACTCACTTTTTTTTTGGAAACTCCATATATTGTTCCAAATGGATTTAACCCAATTGGCCAAGAAAAGAGTACTAGAGAGAATATTTAGAGAGAGACCAGAGACAATTCATCTTCATTCCTTCCCCGCAATGGAGATGTAATTTACACGGAGTTTAGGAGTGGCTCCCATTGGTGCCACACTGCCACTACTCATAACTTCACAATCTAAAAACTTACATGTGTTTTGTTAATTTAGCCTCAAGATAAACTAATTGTCGTACTCGTTAATTGAGAATAGGGTGATGCTAAAGCCACCCCAAAAATGGCTATATCCACTCCTTTCACATAAATTTGCTAAATCCACACCAATATAAACTTTATATTAATGGTTGTGGATATAGCAAATATTGGTAAAAGGTGTGGATATAGCCATTTTGGGGGGTGGATTTAGCAACACCCTTGAGAACAATGTTAATAGTCTTTTGACTAACGGTGTTCAAAATGGTGGTAAGTGACGTTAAACTTATGCTAATTTCTCAAAATAGTCCTTTTCAAATGGACAATACATAATTGGATTGATCACCGAAGGGGAGGGCTCAAAGTTGTGTGATCTTGGTTTGAGCGAGGTTTATTGGGGGGCAAGCCATCTCACATTGGACGGAAAGAGAGAAACGAATATGGAACATTTTGAGAGAGGTTCAAAGACAAATATGTGAGAGTTTGTGCAAAGTAAACAATAGTGGACATTCATTTGAGGGAGCTTTCATACATTACAATATAAAGGTATAAAACACTATTTCTTCACTTGATCCTACAATTGAAGGTTAGGGGTTAGTTAAGGTTGAGGAAGGGATGGCATGGCTAAAGCCTGCAATCTCTCCTCTTTGCAGCGCCTTTGATCCCCAACCATGGAAGCAAAGACATGAAGAACACCATCCAAACCCTCCAAATCTCTTTCACCCACAGCCTTGAGTCCCCACACAATGCTTTCAATGGTGGACAAGCATCCCTCCTTGGGCTGCAGCCTCACTTCGCCGTACAAGCTCTGCCGCCGCCCCTCCTCCTCCTCCATATCCACCAGCTCCACATGGGGAAGAAGCTCCAGCCATGGATTCTCTCTGTACATTCTCTTGGCCTTTGCCCATGTCCCATCCAACACTATCAGATTCTTCACTTCACATCTTCTCATCATGCCTTCTTCTATCCCAACTGACTTTTCACTTGGAAATAGAAGCACTGACCCTTCAGGCACTGTTATTTCAAACTCTTCCCTGTCTCCAAATCCATTGCTTCCATTTAACTCCTTTATCTGAAACTTTTTCACCACAAACCCTTTGCCCAAATCATCAACGACGCCATTTCTTGAAGCCAATAACTGATCCAAATCGCATTCCGGCGGAGACCCGTTTCCCGTAACCCGAAAAGATTTGATTTTTCCGTACTTCTCGATTGTAAAATCGACGGGGTTCTCGGACGGTTCAAGATCCGAGCTGTATAAGGGTCGGATTGAAAAACGGGCCTGGAAATTGACGTCGGAAACTGGGATTACAGTGAGATTCTGGAGGGCTATGGATGCGATTCGGGTCGAATTGAGCGGGTGATTCTTCTCCAGACTGTGCTGGAGAACTGTGACGGCGACGGCGTTTATGAGCTTCGGCGTCTTGAAACGGGTGCAGAGGCAGAGCCGGGTCGGTTTCGAGCATGTCGGGCACATGGGTCGTCTCCCGGTAGGACCCGATTGGGTCGCCATTTCTGTGGTTGGGGTTTGAGAAGAAAGAATTGGTCTTTGAGGGTTCAAAGGGTTGTTGTTGATGAGAAGAGAGTGGTACCGTTGGGGTAATGACCCGACCCTTGTAGGAATCTGGGCTTGCATTTGACTCAAAGATCTGATTTGGAGCACCAATGGAGAAATCATACTATCATAGCAATGAATGAATGAAGATAATGACTTGCTCCGCTCAAATCAGAACTCTCTCTGTTTAGACAAACTCCTGATTTAATTTTTAAGATATCTATAAAAAAAATTCTTGAAAAATGGTAGGGGTACACCATTTGTTGTAACTCATATGTCCCCCACCCTCTTCTTGTCCACTAAAAAAGGTAAAGAATTTAAAAAAAAGTAAATAAAAAACAAATAAAAATATGTAATGAAAAAGGGGTGGTGTACATTTGAGGTACACCTTTTGGTGTACTCCTAGCATTGCTCAAAATTCTTTCTTCATTTTTTACTTTTTAGAACACTTTGAATGAGTCGGAATCTATTTCACTCTTCTATAATCATGTCAAGTTAAAATACAAATTTTTTTGATACAGAGAAAATATGAGATTATATATTTGTAATACGTAAGATGATAAATTAAATTTTTAGCTGCACAAAAGACCTATTAGAGTTGACTACAAAGAGAATTATTTAGAATATAGAAGGAAAATGCTAGGGGTACACTAAATGTGTACCCCAAATATCTCCCACCCCCTCCATTGCCACAAAAGAAGGCAAGTAAAATTCAAAAATAAAATAAAAAATAAAAACAAAATAAAATAAATGGTGTAGAGGCAAGTTGTGTACATTTGGGGTAAGGTGTACCCCTAGCATCTCCCATAAAAGACCTATTAGTGTAAGGTCTTGAGAGCACGAGCAATGGCAAATAACGAAATGGAATGCCACACGTTGATGTGACACATTTCAACCAATAAAAGACAATTCAGTCAGCGTGTGACAAGTGAGTGCAGAGGCATCTCATACAGTGGCAAGTCATTATTTTTGTCATTTTTATGATTTTTAATGCATTTTAATTATTAAAAAAATATTTCATTTATCTTTTTTTATACAGATGTACTCTTTTTTTAAAAAAATTATTTTTTCTAAAAAATAAAAAAATAAAAAAAATAAAAAAAAAATTAAAGATGCCTCGCGCCTCACACGCTTGGCGTGGAGGGAGGCTGAAGCCACGCGAGGCAAAAGTGCTGAGGAAACTAATGTGGCGCAGCGAGCGAGGAAATGCCTCGCCACTGCGCATGCTCTGATATGCTCAATTTATTTAAATTGAAATTAGGCTGTCACATTTGATTTTTGTAAAGAAAATGGGAAGAACTCAATTTCAATTCATTTTTTTATTTTTCCATTCCTTAAAATAATACGTCTTTCACTTTTCGTTCGATCTAAAAAATCTTTTCACTTTATATTTAAAAATCATTTTATCTCACTAATTTTTATATTACTTATCAGATCATATCTATCACTAATAATATATTAATCATATGTTACTTTTATCGATCTCATTTAATGGATATTTTTGAAAAATCAATACCAAAATATATAGTCACTTTAACCTTTGTAAAAGTACAAAATATTTGTAGAGAGGGAGAAAGTATGATATTTCATCTGGTCATAAATATTTTCTTGTCTTAACTTTTTTGGTTAGACAGTAATACTCTTTCTCCATAAATTATGAGAAAAATATGTTGAATTATAATATAAATTCAATATAATTGAATCTACGTTAAGATATAATTTTGATATATCAATTTTTATAATATTTATTTATGTAAGTTATATATAATTTGTGATAAAAAGTGTCAGTGTTTGACTAAAAAAGAGTCAAAATATGAAATATTTTTAGGAGACGGGAGTATATAAATTGCCCACTCATCATATAGATAATGCCAGCACGGATCCCCAACGCACGCCACATCGGCAAATTGTCAGCAAAATGACACTGAGATGCCACGTCAACTCGGTCATCTTCCAACAGTCGAGACAGTTCAGATGGCCGAAAAACGTCAAACCAGAAACCGTTTGAAATGAAGACGAAGCACTGCCCTGAAGAGCCAATGGTCATAGGGGATTTCCGATCGTAACGAGAAAAACAGATTTTCGGTTCGGGTCGATATACTGGTCGGATTATTTTGGATCCGGACACAATGATTGGTTGGTGCAGGCAGTTGCGGGGCGCTTTTGGGGCCCCTTTTCTGTGGCTCGTTTGCTTGATTTACTTCACCCAGGTTCGTCTCTCAAATGCTGTCTTCAATTCTTCCCCGTTTCAAATTCTGTTCGAAATTTCCCGGAAATTAGGGCTAAATTCGAACATTTGGGGAGTTAGGGTTTTTTTGTTTGTTTCTTTAGAAGTTTTCGTAAAGCTGTTGATTCTATAGAAAAATGGCGATCTATTTTCACAGCCCTAGCAGTTCTTTGTGTTTTCAGGATCAACTATAATGTATTTCTGTGACATTTATTTTATTAGTTTATTCTTAAATTTAGATGGTTGAAAAGAAGGTTAAAATGACGATTAAATGAAATGTATATAGAGTGGTCATTTTATAGGACAGTACTAATAAATGCTCCATATATGTAAACAACAACACGAACTATAATATAATCCCAACTCTGCTGCAGGCAACTTTACCCATGTAAAAAAAGAGACTAGTTTGGGTAGATATTTAATGCATTGCTATATTTACTGTCCAAAACTTCATAGAAAGTAAGACGCGATGAAAATTTTAATGTGCTATTTTGATCTAGTATTATTTACCCAAAGCTAACAAGAAATGTCAAAATGACCTTCTTTTAGCTCCATTGGCAATCAATCCTACTCTCGCCCAACTAAACAAGTTATTTGGTGTGTGTATATATAGAGTCCTTATGGCGTATCACTACATGCTTTTTTCGAGCAGGGTTTTAGATCATTTGTATGGACTGCAGTTTCGTATCAGCTGAAAGATCAATTGAAATTATCTCCTTCAGCTTCCCAGTTTGTCTCTTCAATAGCATTCTTTCCATGGAGTGTGAAACCTCTATACGGGTATGTATCTATCATACAAGTGCAAGTATGACTTGTGAGTTTCATGTTGCTATCTGTCACCATTTCAAATATTCATGAACTTATACAAGCAATATGTCAAAGGCTCAAACTTGATTTGACTGGGAGATGCTTGCTAAAAAACTCTTTTAGGTGGAATTTGTTTGTTAAACGTGTTCTATTGAGATAAACTGATTTTTAATTAAAAATATGTGCTTTCTTTCGCAAAAGGTTTGATGTTTCTGGTGATATTGAGTACATAAAATTTAGTAGTCTTTTACCATTACAAGATATTGAAAGTCAAGATGTCTTCCATGCAGAATCATATCTGATTGTATACCCATTAAAGGAAGAAAGAGAATTCCCTATTTAATGCTGGCCACTTTGCTATCACTCCTTCCATGGCTTGTTTTAGGAACCAACGAATTTCTTAGGACCACTAAGGTGCAGCTCATGATTTTTCTAACAGTGCAAAATCTGGGATCTGCCATGGCTGACGTAGTAATTGATGCGATGATAGCTGAGGCTGCAAGATTAGAGCGGTATGTTTTCTTGGTCAAGCAAATTTTTATGTCAAATATACTATGGTGGTAGTTCCGTAGTTGGTGTTCAGCTACCCTTGAGTTACTCTTGTTTTTCTTTTGAATTCACAATCAACATATAACAAATTCACAAGTTTGAGTTCATGGAATCTTCCATGAACTCTGCTAACCTTTGTCTTTTATTCTTGAACCAATGGTATTTCGGAAACAACCTATCTACCTTTTCTAGGTAGGGGTAAGGTCTGGCAACAACTACCCCCTAGACCCCATTCGTGAGGTTTTACTGGATTGGTTGTTGTTATTGTATTGTATATAGTACATGAGACTACTCCTATTTGGTCAACCTTTTAGGATAGACTTCAATTCTTAAAGCTCCCTCTGCCCCGCAAAATTGTTCATACTTTCCCATTTTGGACATCCCCAAAAAACTTTTAAAGAAACGAAAATGTGACTCACAACACGTGAGCTTCCTAAGAAAGCACCGTGCAGTTGTGAATAGTTTTTATGATACAATAGTCATGACTCATGAATATAGATCTTAATGTTGCTATGAACAGAGCTTTATTTGCTGGTGATCTTCAATCAATCTCTTGGATGGCAATGGCTTTGGGAGGAATCTGTGGGAGTTTGCTAGGTGGTTATGCATTAAGCAATCTGAAGATGGATGAAATTTTTCTTATCTTTTCTGTTTTACCAGCAATGCAGTTTGTTTCATGTCATTTTGTGGAGGAGGGCTCTGCAGCTTCTAAAGCCCTCTCCAAAAGTTCCAGTCCAAATGGGACCCACTTGACAGACGAAAACTTTGATGAGAATTTGAACTTCTCTAATGGGAAGTCCAAAGGTGGTCCTTCAAGGAGAAAAAAGAGCCAGAAAGATACCGAAAGCAGAGCAATCAAAACAGGTGACCTCCAAATTCAAGAAAAAGACGGGCCATCCTCTAATCTCTTTCAATCCCTGAAATCAGCAAGCTATGATCTATTTAAGGCTTTCCGGCAGCCAATCATTCTACGGTAACATGTGGAAAACCTTCTTTGTTGATGCCTTTTTAGTTAATAAATGCATATCACTCGCCAAATACTATTTCCTAGGAACTCCACTCATTTCCCTATATAAGTATCACGACCTTACATGTTAATGTTCAATATAATTAAGAAAAGGTTTTACTTTTGGGCCTACTAATATTTTGTTATTCCCACTCTAGATTACCAACTTTCATTTTTCCCACTTTTAGTTCTCGTCCAAGAGTGGCAAGAAATTCCTATTCATTCACAAAGAATGGGAAAATGAAAGTTGATGATCAAAAGTAGAATGACGTAATAATCTTGAGACTAAAAATGAAATTTTTTCCATAATAAATAACCTGACAAAGGCTTTGGAATTAAGCCAAATGTGAATAAGACATTAGCTTGTTTTTCCCTTATTATCCATAATTTGCTTGATCTGACAGTGTTTTTTGTCTTGTGCAAACTCTTTTTTGGGAGTCTACAGACCAATGGCTTGGTTCTTTTTAGCACATATAACAGTCCCAAATCTGTCCACAGTAATGTTCTACTACCAAACAGAGATTTTAAAGTTGGAACCATCATTCTTAGGGACAACACGTGTTCTAGGGTGGTTAGGCCTCATGCTTGGAACCTTCATATACAACCAGTACTTGAAGAAAATGAGATTGCGAAGAATTCTCATGTAAGCTCAAATTCAGACGACAAAGCTAGTAGATAATGAATGATACACACACAGTTCAAAACTTAATACTCAATTTAGCTTATTCTTGTTCCTGTATGGTATTTGTGCAGGTGGGCTCATGTTGGTTTGGCCATTTTGGGTGCTCTAGATCTAATTTTGGTTACCCGAATCAATGCGTCATTAGGCATATCGGATAAAGTTATGGTGATGTGCGGGTCTGCTCTTGGAGACGGGATAAATCAATTCAAGTATGATATCTCACTTCCCCTTTTTCACACAAACATAAATAACTCCTTCAAATGAGTCCTCCTTCAAATGAGTCCGGCGCTCATTTATTCATCTCAATATTGTTCATATCATATCTCTAAAATATTTTAAACAATTCATCACAACTTTTTGATTGAACATGGAGAAATCGTGTCACGAAAGATCTTACCTTTTTAATTAGCTGTTTTCACACAATTTGTTGCAGGTTTATGCCGTTTCTGATCTTATCAGGGCAGCTATGCCCTCCAGGAATTGAAGGCACTTTGTTTGCGCTCTTTATGTCAATCAACAACTTGGGCACTACAGTGGGATCTTTTGTAGGAGCTGCGCTCGCGTCTGCTCTTAACATATCTTCAGGATCTTTTGATAACCTTCCCATTGGCATTCTCATCCAACTCGTGTCCACATTCGTTCCGGTGGCTTTTCTCTTTCTGATCCCCAAGGATGCCACCGGGCTATCGGCTTAGTTCCTATACATATACATATATATAGGATTTTATATATTTGACTGGTCAGGCTGTACTAGGAGGCTCTACTTCAATGTTAGCCTTTTTTGTTTTGTATTTGTTTTTCAAACCACAGGAAATGTTATATATACTTGAAATTTGAAATCATCATTTTGTAGTGAGTATTTTTTTTTTCCCTTATGGAGAAAAAAGTGGATGTATTTTGGCCAATCGACATTTTGCAAATGATGGGTCTAAAAAGTTTATTACTATAAAATCTATTGTTGAATTTCATTTCGTATTGATTCAAGATTATTGGTCTATTGTAGTCTAATAAATTATACGAAGTTATAACACTGAATATGTACGGTATTATGGTTGAGGGTTTCCCATTTCTTTAACTAAATTAAAATTATTAGGTAATAAAAGGGAAAGGCGCAAAAAAAATCAGACAAAAAAAACCTGGGATATCAGAGCCTGGTTTCGATCCAGGGACCTGTGGGTTATGGGCCCACCACGCTTCCGCTGCGCCACTCTGATCTGTTTGTAATTCTTTATGAACAACTATTAAGTAAACTTTCAAACGAAAGCTGTTTCATAACTATGAAGTATGGTAACCATATTTTACTCTGGAAATGAACAATAGCATATAATAACAAATCATTCAAATAATACTCAAAATCCGAACATTAATTAAAAGGTTACTCCATATTTAATTTCTTTAAAAAGAGTAAAGGCTTGTTATTTTCGCCTGATTTATTTGTTTTAGTTTGAATTTATTAAGACCTGACCTTATTTTAATCTTTGTGGTCTGATCTAAATCTTTCTAGTCTTGTCTAGTTTTACTGAAAGTCAAAATAATTTTCGATTCGATTTGGTCTCGTTTGATCTGAATAATTTTTGATATTCCAATAAGAATAAATAAAAAAACTAAAGAAAACAAGACCTAAGGTACTTTAATAGTCTTTTATACAAAGTAAATACTCCGTAGTTGTTTTTGAAGAGATTGTTTTGAATATAGTCTTCTACTTCAAAGTACTCTTTTTTTTCTTTTTCCTATATGATTACTATCATTCCACAAGAATAAAAATGTTAAAAAAATTCTCCGGATAAGTTTTGGTGCAGTGGTACCATACTAGATCGTAATGATACTGAACCATTTAGTGTTTTTAAACGGTATTGATTTTTTTCTATGTCGAATTAGAACCGAACCGATTATCATGGATCGAACCGCTCAAAGGTATCTCTGGAGTATTTCATATACTTAGTTGTCTATGTCATCTTACCATATATGGAGTATTTCGTATTAAATTATTTTTTCATATTCTTTCATTATTATTGTTTTTATTATATTTATCACTACTATGAGCATTATGTTTTTGAAGTTATTAATAGTTCGATATGGTTTGAATTAAAAACAATATGCTATATTTTTAATTAATTTGAACTCGTTATCTTTTATTTTATATGTTTATGATCATTTTAAATAGGAAACCATTGATTTTTTTTACAAAGTTGTGATTTTTTTATAGAAAATTATGGCTTTGTTTTAGTATTATTTGAGTAATGCATGTTTAATTTTTTGGAACGATTTGAGCATGAGAATGATATTGTACATTTCCGTTGCAAAATGGAATGGTAACGAATGATTTTTGGGATCATCCTACACAGATGCCGATTCATTTAAATAAGAGGAGTCTGTGTCTCCATAATAAGTTCCGGTAGTATCATCACGAGTTCTTCTTCTTTATGAGTGAATAAAACTAACCTATCATTTTTTACTATTGGTTTGTGGAGATCCTCAATTTTAGGAATTTAGAATATCTCTTTGCCCCTCATTTCATGCAGCAGCAATGTTTGTACACTTGGAACTATTACTCGGGTATTTTTTTTTAACGTAAAAATTAATAGAAAAACGCAAACCAGAGGAAAAAATGGGGGAAGAAAAACACTGAATTTCTGGAGACATTTCTCCCCAAATCTGTTTCCTGAGACAAACCAGAGAGAAAGACGAATTTGCCAGCACTAAGGTGTTGGCCCATGAAAGCTGAAATTGCAGTGATGTTCTTATTGTAGGCCAAAAATGCATAAATTCTGAAATAATTTTTTTGTAAAAAAAAAATTGCCAACAATAAGGATATCGCCCAGATATTTCAACAAATTAATGAGCTTTGGGTCTGGATCTGCTTAACCATAGGTGGGAAGGATGAAGATGAACTGCTTCTCTTGTTGTCTTTCTGGGGAGGAGAAAATCGCCAGAAATTCATTGAAGAAAAGCATTCAAGAATACAAGGACATTAGGGTTCTTGCTTCATTTGCCAACATTTCTTTGAAATCTGGTGAATTTCATCTGCTGCTCACCCATATTCATTTCGATTCGATCCGTCCGAGCTCCCTTATATATGTTTGAAGGATAAGCTCTAATAATGGGTGAAATTGAAATGATGATCATATGAATGTGCAGATAGAAGCAGGAAGAAATACATTGAGGAAGAAATAGGAAAATTTGGAAAGGGGAATAGCTCAGCTCATGCTTTTACATACCAAGAACTATCTGATGCAACCCATAACTTCAACCTTGAATCTTTGCTTGGGGAAGGCGGTTTCGGGCGGGTCTACAGAGGGCACCTCAAGAACAAAGACAAAGTTCATTCTCTCCTCTTAATGACATTTCTTCATTTATCTGATTAGAAAAAGTAAATGGGCATAAACTAAATAAATCTCTTGATTTTCATGGTGTTTTAGACTGTTGCAGTTAAAAAACTCGACAGGAATGGCCTCCAGGGAAACCGGGAGTTCCTCGTGGAGGTTCTGTTGTTGAGCCTTCTTCACCACCCTAACCTTGTGAGCTTGCAAGGGTATTGTTGTGATGGAGATCAAAGGCTATTAGTATATGAGTTCATGTCCAATGGCTCCCTTGAAGACCATCTTCTTGGTATATGCATATATATATCCTACTAAAATCTCAAAAGGGTACCTAAACAAAAAGATTTCAAGGCAATTTTGCTTTGGTGGATGACGAATATTCTTGTCATCTCCAAGTGGATGCCACATGAATGAACTGATGAACATATCAGATCAAGATTTCAAAATAAAGAAATTGTAAAATCTTAGAGGGCTCTATTTGATGTATGTTTACTCATCAATGAAATCTTCGCATTATGCGTTTTTTCAGATCCAAAGCCAGGTAAAAAGCCACTAGATTGGATTACAAGGATGAAAATAGCTCAAGGAGCAGCAAGAGGGCTTGAGTATTTGCACGAAACAGCCAACCCACCGGTTATATACCGTGACTTCAAAGCATCCAACATACTCTTAGATGACAACTTCAATGCAAAGCTTTCTGATTTCGGGCTGGCCAAACTAGGACCGACGGGCGACCAGTCTCATGTCACCACCAGGGTCATGGGCACATATGGCTATTGCGCGCCCGAGTACGCCTCTACGGGCCAGTTGACTACAAAGTCTGATGTTTACAGCTTTGGGGTCGTGTTTTTGGAGATCTTAACAGGAAGAAGAGTCATCGACAACTTGAGGCCCAGTGAAGAACACAATTTGGTTTTGTGGGTGCGTTACAACACGATTATGTGTCCTTATAGCTACAGTTTTAATGTTTTGAAAATGCTGTCTAACAAAGCGTTTAGGTTTAGTATTTTTCAAAGTTAATCTTACTCTTACTTTAAAAATAAGTATCTTGACTTTCAAGTATTACCCTTTCAAACTCACCTTACTCAAACTGAATGTGCTAATTTGAAAGAAGTGATTGCAGGCACAACCATTGTTCAAAGACAAGAACAAGTTTCACTTGATTGCGGATCCATTGTTGGAAGGAAATTATCCAGCAAAGGGTCTGCATCAAGCTCTTGCAATCGCGGCAATGTGCCTCCAAGAGGAAGCCGACACGCGGCCTTTCATCACTGATGTGGTTTCAGCTTTGGAGTTTCTGTGTGGGAGCAGAGCCGGGGAGGAGGAGGATTGCGAAGATGCCGCTGTTGCTGTTGAGCCATCGCCTCCAGACGACAATGAAACCAAGAGCTAAAATGGGGTTGTTTGTCTATGACATTGGCTCTCAATGATGATGATCTTAGTGTGGGTGAAAGAGATTTTTACATGATTGTCTGGAGATGATTGACGTCTTGGTGTTACTGTTGTTTAATATAATCAGTTAGAATTTTATACTACACAACTTACATTAACTAATGAGGTTTAGTTTCTAACAAAGCAACATACAACACGTGATTCGTTGGAAAAGTCAAAATTTGAAATGCCACTCCGTGCAGTGATAATAATTTGTGTGTAGGGCTGAAAGATAAGTATTCACCTGTTCTGAGTAGTCAAAAAGACTAAAATCAATGTTTATTATCATATTTTATTTTGTAGAAATTTTGATATAACTCTCAAGTATATATAAAAGTTTTGATATAACTTTTAAGTATATACGGAGTAATATTTTGGCCAAATTTTTCGGGAAAAAAAACCGGTACAATGCGCCAGTTCCCGTGCCAAATCGGCTCGGATCGGTTTGACATCTGGTTCGCCAGTTCCCGTGCCAAATCGGCCGGTCGGGCTTTCAAAACTTTGCATATATCTCTATACATTGGGTCCACATGTCTAATACTCCGGCCCTGGGCCAGTGTTGGCTGTGCAACAGAACAGGGCCCCCATTTTAAAGAGGGCCCATATTTTTAAACGGCCCGGTTCCATGGCCACTGGAATCCAGTGGCCACGGAAGCCACTGCCCCCCTACGGAACTCCGTTCATAAAATTGATGATTCCTACCCCCCCGGTAAACCCCCCGCCAAATCCCGACCCAAACTCATCACCCCACCTACGTCAATTGCACCCCATAAGCATAAAGTCAAAACTTTTGACTTTAATGTCAATTATGCTTACGAGGTGCGCTTCTTTCGCCATTTTTTGGCTTTGGGGTGTGATGGAAGAAATCAAAATGGATTTCTAAACTGTCTACGCTTCTTTAATTAATGAAGTAGCAGTTAGTCAAGCAATGCAACTTTCGAAGTTGAGCCGGGGGTCTCTTTGGAAACAGCCTCTCTACTTTCGAGTAGGGGTAAGGTCTGCGTACACACACCCTCCCCAGACCCTACTCTTGTGGGATTTAACTGGGTTGTTGTTGTTGTTGTTGTTATGCTTACGATGTGCAATTGACGTAGGTGGGGTGATGAGTTTAGGTCGGGACTTGGCGGGAGAGTTTACCGGGGGGTTAGGGGGGGGTAGGAATCATCAATTTTATGAACGGAGTTCCGTAGGGGGGCAGTGGCTTCCGTGGCCACTGGATTCCAGTGGCCATGGAACCGGGCCGATTTTTAAAACTCTAGTAGTGGTACTTTGTATTATTGCTAACTCAATACATGCAATGTAATTAGGACTGTTCATCGGTCCAAACCCGGACCGAACCGGACCGGACCGGACCGAAGACCGAAATCAATAAAAATGGGGACCGAAGACCGGACCTAAATGTTTTCGGTCATTGACCGAACCGGACCGAAATCATGTGGACCGAACCGACATAGACCGAAAAAGACCGAAAAATAACCCTTTTAACACCCCAGTGTATTTCTGTAAAAATTGGAGACACAACTAGCATCTTCCGATAAAGCTAATGAACAAATAAAATCAGTTCCTGATTCAATTCAAAAATCATTTTAAAGAGGAATTAAATTTAAAGGCACCAAGGGATGGTAGATCGGGTTGGGATTTGGAAACATCTTCAAATTTAAAACAAAAAAAAACCAAGAAAACCAACTTGGAGAGATTGGAGTACTTGAGTGGCTGCTGGTGCCTGGTTGAGGTCGGAGTATTCTTCACCGGTCGGGACTTGCAATTTGTGAANATTCGGTCGGGTGCTACTGCTTATGGGGTTCGGTCATTTCGGTCCGGACCGAAATAAATTCGGGTTTGGACCGGACCGGATCGATACCCGAAATCAGAAATTAATTGGACCTAAGACCGGACCTAAATGTTATCGGTCCGGGTTCGGTCTGGACCTATCGGTCCGGTTCGGTCGGGTTTTTCGGTCTGGACCTAAACATGAACACCCCTAAATGTAATAGTCGTTGACCCACATTGATTATTGAAGAAGCCAAATAGATGCATCTTCTCATCTTCTTTTTTTTTTTATTTTTTTTTGTAGAAGAAAGAGAAGATTTTTCGAAAAGGAATACATTTATTTTTATTAAAAAGATAAGTAAAAAAAGTTTTAATAATTAAAAAACATTGAAAAAGTGTAAAAACTGGAAAAAAATAATGACTCTGCAAGGCACGTTACTCCACTTGCGATACGCTAACTGGACTGGTTTTGATCGGCACTCCATTTTTTACTTGTCATTGTCTATGCTCTAAATTGAAGCTTCTTTCTTCACCGCCTCATGTGTAGGGGTGGACACGGTACGGTTCCGGTCTGGTTTTGGTTCTGGTCTGGTTCTGGTTCCGGAACTGGCAGTCCTGGTGGCACCACCTCATGGACCCGTTACCGGTCCCGGTGCTCACGGTGCCAGCACCGGTACCCACACCGGCGTTTCCAACACCGTACCGTACCGGTTCTCCGTATTGTGTCACCGTCTCCGTCACCGGTCTCGGTGGCGGAACCGCCGGTACCGGTTCCGTACTGGGTCCGGCCCTACGTACTCAAGTGCATAATGAAACCTCATGCTTCCTTTTGAAGGTTTCAAAGCCAACTTGATTTTGGCAACCTTGCCGCCACCATGCATTTGAATTGGTCAAAAGAACCAAGTTTGGTTTTGCTTTCATGAGTTGGTTTATTTCCACGGATGAACTCATATAAGAAGAAGATTCCCTCTTTTGATACATACACAGTCTATCTTCCAAACAATCAATTTTGTTGTTTAGGCAGAGGCATGCCAAACATGGCTTTCTCGTCCGCCACCATCAAACCGCCAACCCCATTGCTCCCGAAGCCGCACGCCGCCGCCTCCTCTTTGCACTGCTTGCCCCGGAGACTCACAGGATCCGTGAAGGAGCGAATGGCTGCGGGCGGTGAGGCCTCTGAATTTGGTGCTCTTCAGCGTCCCGATTCGTTGGGCCGATTTGGCAAGTTCGGGGGCAGGTACGTCCCCGAAACGCTCATCCACGCGCTGCATGAGCTCGAGACTGCCTTCAGGACTCTCTCAAATGACCATGCATTTCAGGTCATCTGCTCCATCTCTCTCCTTCATTCCATACTCCCTATAACTCTCTATTGTAAAAAATGATCATTTTTTTCCACTCCGTCTTGTCAGGAAATGGCTTTTTTTTTTTAGATCAAATTAATTGTTACGAACTTTTTACCACGAGGGCGGCACCTCCAGAAAAAAATAATACCGGGAGTAACTTAGAGCATCAAGCCAAAAATGGAATGCAACACGGTGACGTGAAACATTTTAATCAATAAAAAATCGTCCAGTCAGCGTGGGACAAGTGAATGGAATGACAAGTTCTACAGTGGCAAGTCATTATTTTTATTACTTTTTTTTATACATTTTTTTATGTTTTTTAAACATAAAAAAAATATTTTTATTTATTTTATCAAAAAATTATTCTTCTTTCTTATACATTTTTTTCATAAAGGAAGTTTAAAAAAATTTTTTAAAAAATAAGGTGGAGTGTCATACCCATGCCTCACCAAGAAGACATTTTGACCTTGCCATGCTATGATATGAGTGGAAAGAGCCGATGTGGCAGTGCAAAACATTCTACTTCCTTGCCAGTGCACATGCTCTTATAAGGGAGGGGAGGATATTCTAGACAAGACAAGAGGGAAATACTTTTACTTGTTCATTAATTTCATATTTTTACATATAAACCATATATTACCTCAATGATAGAGTACTCATCTGGTTTGATTTTTTCGAGTCAAACTGGATGTACTTTGAAGTTCAATTATATAAAAACAACAATGTATATTAGTATAATAATGATATTATTATATTTAGCTCCCCTTAAACCCCATGCCCCCTCCTACCCCCTACCCCCCCCGAAAACACCGATTGACTACAGTACACTGTAGCCGATATGCATTTTGTGGTGCGGGGGCTGCTGGGGTATGGTGCGGGGCATGAGAGATTTAGGCGGAAGGAGATTAAGAGGGATTAGGGGGTAGAAGCCATCAATTTTTGAACGGAGCACCATTGTTCTTGTTGTCATAATATGACACCCCTTCTTGTTTTCAAAAGAATGGGGCCGTAATAACAATAACAATAATAATAATAATAATAATAATAATAATAATAAAAATAATAATAACAATAACAATAACAATAACAATAATGTAACCCCCCCAATGCATCATAGTGATAATTGATAGTTACCAAAAATAAGAAATAATAATAATAGTAATAAAAATATTAACAACAGTAGCAATAATAATAATAATAATAATAATAATAATAATAATAATAAATATAGGCGTAGCATAAGATGGCTTGCCTCAACCCAAATCTCATGTGGTTACTTCATTTGTATCATTAATTCTCTGTCACTCACTCTAACAGTATGTTTGGTTCGGGGAATTTGATAGAGAAAAGAAAAGAAAATTAAGTAAAAAATAGGTTTTGTTGTTTGGTTAAAGAGGAAAAGGAAAGAAAAATGGGAGAAAGAAAACGAGAAGAGAAAATGTACTAAGAGGGGGATTAACAAAACTTCTCCCATTTTGGTGAGGAAAATGAGAGATAATCATTTTTCTTTTATGTTTTTTCTAAATTCCTTGAACCAAATATAATGTAAGAAAATTCATATTTTATGTTAATGCAACGAAGAATTAAAGAAATTGTTGTTAACTCACTCACTCTAAGAAAATTAAGAGTGAAATTATTGTTCAATTCATGTCTAGATACAATAGTGTAAGATAAATCTTTTGGTGCCAATAAATAAACACTCATACCAAGCATTTTGCTTTTACTAATATTCTTTGGAATCTAATGTTGCGAATATACCTGAAGGCGTTACAATTTACAAGTTGCTGAGTGATTTAAATGATGAACCACAGAAAGAGCGGGATAGGATCTTGTGTGACTATGTTGGGAGAGCAAGCCCCCTTTATTTTGCAGAACGACTTACTGAGCACTACAAGCGATCTAATGGTGAAGGGCCGCACATATACCTGAAGAGGGAAGATCTAAACCACACCGGAGCATACAAAATCAACAATGCTGTTGCCCAAGCCTTGCTCGCAAAGCACTTGGGCAAGAAACGCATTATAGCTGAAACCGGAGCTGGTCAACATGGTGTTGCCACTGCAAGCGTTTGTGCTTGCTTTGGCTTGCAGTGTGTAATTTATATGGGTGCTCGGGATATGGAGAGACAATCATTGAATGTTTTCAGGATGCGTCTCCTTGGTGCCGAGGTTTGTTTCTTATGTTGTTGCTTTGGTTTGGGACTAGTATTTGTGCGTCTTTAGGAAATGTTTGTTTGTTTAAAGCCTCCGTGGAACATAATTTAATGTAATCAAATGCACACGTAATGTAAGTTTATCCCAACAACTATATCTGATTACATTGCATTCCACTATGTTAGAGATACATCATACAATGTCCCCTCTTTAACTTTGGTAGTTCTGTCTAATCTATGTATTTGCATTCCTAGGCTCCGGATAGAGGTAAGCTAAGGTCTGTGTGCATTCTACCCAGAATAATATTGTTTTCCTCAATTCTTTGGACTTTGTGGAAAATGGTTTCCATTTTTTAAATGGGAAGTTATTTTCTCAATAGAGCTCTATATTTTCTATTTCGGGAGTGAAATATTATACAATACATATAACAACGAGTTTCAAAGAAAACATTTTTGCATGTTGTTTTGCTGGAAACAACATTTCCATCTTCTCTAGCGAAGCCAAACATTTTGTTATTTTTGGCTTTGCAGTATAATGGAATAAAGCAAAATAGCTGATAGAATTTAGGATTGGGTAGAAATAACTAGATTGGGGCAATAAGACACTTGGGCTGAACCACATTAAAAGATTGAATCCAATCGATTAGCTAGTTCAACTCTAGAGCTTATATACCGATTATTTTACTCTTGGATTTCCGATGTGTGATTGGACAACCGGCCCATTTTGAATATAACCGGTTGACCACTTGCAAATGAACTCCCATTCCCTTGACTTTTTTTTATAGCGTCAACACCTAAAGGACCACGAGCCGCTGGGTATGGACTTCCAGACGTGCAATCAGGTCAAACAGGCCACAGGCCGTTGGGTACATACTTCATACGGATAACTGGGCTAAATACTAACGGGCCGCTAGGAATGAACGTCTAGACGGACACCTTGACAAACGAGGTGGGCCAAAACCTGCTTCGATACCATGATAGAATTTAGGATTGGGTAGAGATAACTGGATTGGGGCAATAAGACACTTGGGCTGAACCACATTAAAAGATTGAATCCAATCGATTAGCTAGTTCAACTCCAGAGCTTATATACCGATTATTTTACTCTTGGATTTCCGATGTGTGATGTACTCTAACAATATCTTTTTAAATTATATGTGCTTTTTTCAATAGGGAAGTATATGGAAACTACCGCTCTATGTTTTAAATATAGGGGTTCGGTTGTGTACATCCGACCCCCCTTGTCTTGCAATGGGCGGAGCCTTTGAGGCACTAGGGTAATATTATTGTACTTTCTTGGAAACAACAGAGGCTTAAGCAACAACTTTTGTCATCTTTATGTTCTCTCCCTCTTACTATGTATCAAAAGTATACATCCGTATCAATTTAAGATCTTGCAGTGCAGGTTAAACCGGTCCATTCTGGAACAGCAACACTTAAGGATGCTACATCAGAAGCAATTCGGGATTTGGTTACCAATGTCGAAACGACTTATTACCTCTTGGGATCTGTATCCGGGCCCCACCCCTACCCAATGATGGTTAGAGACTTCCATGCAGTGATAGGCAAAGAAACAAGAAAGCAAGCATTGGAGAAATGGGGCGGAAAGCCTGACGTGCTTGTTGCGTGTGTTGGTGGAGGTTCAAATGCTATGGGTTTGTTTCATGAGTTTGTTGATGACAAAGATGTGAGATTGATTGGGGTGGAGGGTGCGGGTTTTGGTCTTGATAGTGGTAAACATGCTGCTACTTTAACAAAGGGAGAGGTTGGGGTGCTACACGGAGCTATGACCTATTTGCTTCAGGATGATGATGGGCAGATTGTTGAGCCCCATTCAATCAGTGCTGGGTAACAAACTTTCTTAAACACTTCACTTGACCTTTGAACAATCAACACTCTACATGTTTTCCAAGAAAATAACTTGCAAAAAATGCTTTCTTGAAAATAAGTTGTGTTGTGTGTGATATAATGTGTGACTCACAAAAACTGATAACTAGAAATTGTTACAAGAAAATAACTTTCCATTTTCCACAAATGTCTTAAGAGTATGATTGGAACTACAAAAATGTTAGCAAAAGTTAAAAAGAGAGGAAAACAGGGTAGAAATTAGAAGGAAAAAGAAGTATTAGTTCAAGCTCATTAAAACCTATGTTAGATATATTTGTTTAAAATAATTTCATTTATATACGAGTAGTTCTTTTATGTAAAGAAGAAACATAAATATATGTAACATTTTTAGATATCTTGATCAAAATTTGGTTTTCTTCATATTTTCAAAGGTAAAACCGTAAAACCATTTTCCTGGGCATTTTCCCCTCCTTACCATTTTCCTAGTAGCCCAAGGATATTTTTCCCTTTTTCGATCAGGTTTGCAACACTTGGAAAACTTTGTTTTGATGTTCCTAACAAGACAATAGGAACATATTTTCTCTTTAAATAATTTCTTGTAAATGAATGGAGCCTGGTTGCCAAGATCCCATCTTGATTGTTTTGCTTGTGGATTATCAGGTTAGATTATCCTGGAGTGGGGCCTGAGCATAGTTTTCTTAAGGACCTCAAACGAGCAGAGTATCATAGCATCACTGATGAAGAAGCTTTTGAAGGTAAAATTTAAATTTAAATTTGGAACATGAGACTTACGCTAGCCAGGTTGGACACCAGGTATCATAGTGAGGATAATAACTTTGTCTCTGATACAATAGCATGAAATAGTTGTAGCATTTGTAGTGCCTCCTTTACTGTAGTGTTGGTTCGAGCGCCTCCCTTTTCTATATTCTTGCTTTGTTTATGTTATTGTTTTCCTACGTTCAAGTCGAGAATTTGCTAGAAACAACCTCTCTACTACCTAGTAGGGGTAAGGTCTGCATATACACATCCTCCCTAAACCATACTTCTTGTGGGACATTTCTGGGTTTTCTGTTACTGTCGTAGTTATAGTCGTTCTGTTTTGCTTAGAAGCGCTATGCTTTTGTGTGTGTGTGTGCAGCATTTATGAGGGTATCCCGGTTAGAGGGCATTATTCCTGCATTAGAGACATCACATGCATTGGCTTATTTGGAGAAACTTTGCCCGACTCTACCAGACGGGGCTAAGGTTGTGCTGAACTGCAGTGGCAGAGGAGATAAGGATGTTCACACTGCTATAAAACATTTGAAGGTTTGATAAAAAAGGGTTATGTATAGTAGAAATATACTTAAGAAGATTATTCCCCATCAATAAATGGTCATGTTATATACTCCGTATCCAATACTCCTATTTAATTCCACTATCAAATTTAACATTCCATTGATCTAGCCTTCATATCTCATTTCTGATTTCAGTTATCAGAAATACTGTAGAATTTAGTTATTTAATACGAAATCAAATTTTTATTATAACCATAGAATGTGCATTTCTCAAATATGGACGCTCTTCTTGTTTTTGACTTATCATGACCAAAATATGTAGAACACTAGTAGTCTAGAACCCTCCTTCCCCATAAAAGTAAAAATAGAATTCTTTTTCGAAAATTTAAAAATCCGACCTTAACCAAACCTGACTCTTTTCTTGCGAGTCAGGGAGTGGAAAATATGTTAAACATTGTCATGCCAAAGCATGCCACCACATACTATCATGGGTGCACCCATGATTCACACAGACAAACACAGACGATAATCGTCTATGTCGCACATACGATTAACGTTTGTCTGTGCGAAGCATGGGTGCACTTATGGTAGCATCCATGTGGTGGTACCCTTGAATGACCCATATTATTAACCTACCTTCATTCAAGGTAGAAATATCAACCTGGTCAATATGAGCAGCATCAGATTTTGAACTAGCTGCCACTGAACCAGCCAGAAAAGATAGAGCCCTTATGGTCAAAATACAAGGAGTGGGGCCATTTTAACGTACAATAGAAAGAGCATTTTCCTGCTGCATATGTTGGCCTGCCCGCACAGAAACGAATCTGATTCAAATCATCAACTGCATGATGGGTTGAACCTGAATATAGAATTTTCAAACATGTAACAGCCTACAAGGACAAAGGTTTCGAGCTGGAGATTGGAAATGTAGCATGAAGAGAAAAGGCAACCCAAATCCACAACTATAAAATCTGCTTTTCTCTGAGTTTAATCTTTGCTCCTTATAACCAAGGGTATGCTTGATTAGATCCAGAAGAGTGTTAGGAAAAGGGGAAAATGTTTTGGCAAGTCGTTTTATAGCTACGTTGATTATCATGTTAGCCTTGGTTTGCTAAATCTTGTACCCTATGCTAATATGCAATATAAATTGAGAATAATTGAGTTCAAAGTTTGTCCAGTTTGACTCGAAAAAGTCAAACTGGACAAATACACTGGGATGGAGGTAGTATTCCATTAAGTTTGTATCATTTTAATTATTTTTCTAATTTTCATTACTTTTTATATTTTTTGTCAAAAGTAAGACTAATCTTTAAAAAACAAAGAAGAAATGGAGGTAGATAATCATTTTTAAAATTTAATGGTAAATTTCAAAAAAAATTAAAAAAAGAAAATTTACTAAAAATAATTTCAACTTTCATTTTGTTGCGCAAAACAAATCATTTTTGTTAACTCGTCATTAACAACTTAACGGCAATCTAAAACTTACACATTTCAACAAAATTGAAATTATTATGCACCATAGTGAAAAGTAAAATTATTTTTAAAAAACTATTCTTAACAAATTTTTTATATATAAATGCCCTATTAGAGCATCTCCAATGGAGAGGGTAAAAAGTGTATATTCTTAAATATACACTTTATACACTACAATAAATACATTTTAACCCCTCCAATGGATAGTGTAAATAATACACTATAGTCCAAAATACAATTCCCAACTTCTATATATACACTCTCCCATTCACATCTTGTAAAAAATTTATTACTAAAATAATGCATGATTAATTTTTGTTAATTCTTCTTATCCAATATAATTTATTTAAAATATCTAACTATTAGTAAATTGTTATTACTCTTTCAATTACTTTTATTAATAATTTTTTTACTAAACTGTTGTAGTACGTTTTTTTTACTTTTTTTTACTATTTTTTTATTTCTTGTTTCTTAATACTCTATAACCATAGTTTAAAATATATGTGTCATCAGAATTTTAAAAATATATATTATCACAATTAAATAACTTAAAATATTAAAATAAAATAAAAATGTGTTATATAGAAGATATGGTTGGAGTGGATATAAAAAAATGAATGTGTAAAACACTATTGATAGTGTAAAACTAAATATAGCCTATCTATTTTTACACTTACTTTCCATTGTAGATGCTCTTAGGGGCTATTAATGATTGTTATTTGGTGCCTACTGGTATTCTGGTATGTTTGATAGGAGTAGATCTTCCGAATCAATTTTGTTGTTTAGGCAGAGGCATGCCAAACATGGCTTTCTCATCCGCCACCATCAAACCGTCAACCCCATTGCTCCCGAAGCCGTACGCCGCCGCCTCCTCCTCCTCTTTGCACCGCTTGCCCCTGAGATTCACGAATCGCTCAGCCAAGGCGCATCCAGTCTTCTGCAGCCTAGCCGCAGGATCCGTGAAGGAGCGAATGGCTGCCGCCGGCGAGGCCTCTGAATTTGGTGCTCTTCAACGTCCCGATTCGTTCGGACGATTTGGAAAGTTCGGCGGCAAGTATGTCCCCGAAACGCTCATGCACGCGCTGGATGAGCTCGAGGCTGCCTTCAGGACTCTCTCAAATGACGATGCCTTTCAGGTCATCTGCTCCATCTCTCCTTCATTGCTTACTCCCTATTACTCTGTTTGTAAGAAATGTTTGATTTTTTTCATTTCGTCTTCTCACGAAATGACCTTTTTTGCATCAAATTAGTTCTATGTCACTCACTCTCAGAAAATTCATTTTCTGTTAATGCAAAGAAGAATTGAAGAAATTGCTGTTCACTCACTCCCTCTAATAGAATTAAGAGTGAAATTGTTGTTCAATTCATGTCTAGATACAATAGTGTAAGATGAATCTTTTGATGCCTATAAATAAACACTCAATACAAGTATTCTGTTTTCACTAATATTTTCTGGAATCTAATGTTGCAAACATACCCTGAAGGCCTTACAATTTACAAGGTGCTAACTGATTTAAGTGATGAACCACAGAAAGAGCTGGATGGGATCTTGTGTGACTATGTTGGGAGAGCAAGCCCCCTTTATTTTGCAGAACGGCTTACTGAGCACTACAAGCGATCCAATGGTGAAGGGCCACACATATACCTGAAGAGGGAAGATCTGAACCACACCGGAGCACACAAAATCAACAATGCCGTTGCCCAAGCCTTGCTTGCAAAGCACTTGGGCAAGAAACGCATTATAGCTGAAACTGGAGCTGGTCAGCATGGTGTTGCCACTGCAACCGTTTGTGCTCGCTTTGGCTTGCAGTGTGTAATTTATATGGGTGCTCAGGATATGGAGAGACAATCATTGAATGTCTTCAGGATGCGTCTTCTTGGTGCTGAGGTCTGTTTCTTATGTTGATGCTTTGTTTTGGAACTATTCCGCGTGTTTTTAGGAAATGTTTGGTTTTTTAAAGCCTCAATGGAACATAATTTAATGTAACCAGATGCACATGTAATGTAAATTTATTCCAACAAATATACTTGAGTTCATTACATTCCATTATGTTACCTTATAACTTATCAATGAACACATACCTCGTGTCAACTGAAGCAACATCTTAGTAATTTATCTTCAATTATATGTTGTTATGAGTGTTGGACTATCTGATTCCTACTTGTATATGTGCCTGCTCTTTTTTAACCAGTGTTTGGTTGGATTTTTTGGAGGGGATGGGGGGTTTGAGACAATTACTCTCGCATTAGGTGGTAACACTAAATTTGAAAAACCTATGTTACTATTGTTACCTTACCCTCAATAATCCCCCAAACCTAACAAGGAATTGGATTTACCCATTTCAGTAATTGGTAGAGTCGTAGAGATACCATATCCCCTCTTTCACTTTTGGTAGTATCATTGTCTGAATGCATACATTTCTGTCTAATCTTTGTATTTTCATTCTTAGGCTCCGGGTAGAGGTAAGGTCTGCCTACATTCTACCCTCCCCAAGGCCCAAACCCACTTGTGGGATTTTCCAGCTCCTATGGGAACCAGAAAAATAGTTGTTTTCCACATCTCTTTGGGCTTTGTGGAAAATGGTTTCCCATTCTTAAAATAGGAACTTGGGAAGTTATTTTTCTGAAAGAGTTCAATGTTTTCTATTTTTTGGGTGAAACGTTATACAATACATATAACAACGGTTTCCAAAGAAAACATCTTTTCACAAGTTATTTTCCTGGAAACAAACAGAGCCTTCAGCAATAACTTTTGTCCTCTTTATACTCTCTCCCTCTTGCTATGTACGGAGTTTCATAATATACATCCGCATCAATTTAACATCTGGCAGTGCAGGTTAGACCGGTCCATTCTGGAACAGCAACACTAAAGGATGCTACATCAGAAGCAATTCGGGATTGGGTTACCAATGTCGAAACGACTCATTACATCTTGGGATCTGTTGCCGGGCCCCACCCATACCCAATGATGGTTAGAGACTTCCATGCAGTGATAGGCAAAGAAACAAGAAAGCAAGCATTGGAGAAATGGGGCGGAAAGCCTGACGTGCTTGTTGCTTGTGTTGGCGGAGGTTCAAATGCTATGGGTCTGTTTCATGAGTTTGTTGATGACAAAGACGTGAGATTGATTGGGGTGGAGGCTGCAGGTTTTGGTCTTGATAGTGGTAAACATGCTGCTACTTTATCAAAGGGCGAGGTTGGAGTGCTACATGGAGCTATGAGCTATCTGCTTCAGGATGATGATGGGCAGATAATTGAGCCCCATTCCATCAGTGCTGGGTAACAAACTTTCTTAAACCCCTCTCTTGACATTTGAGCAATTAACACTGTAGTGTTTTCCAAGAAAATAACTTGCAAAAATTGCTTTCTTGAAAAAGTTGTGTTTTGCATGATATAATGTCTGGCTCACAAAAATAGATAACAAAAAAGTGTTGCAGGGAAATAACTTCCCATTTCCATAACGGAAAATCATTTTCTATAAATGTCTTAAGGGTCTGATTGGAACTACAAAAATGTTAGCAAACGTAAAGAGAAAAATATAGTAGAAATTTTGAGGGAAAAGGAGTGTTAGTTCAAGCTCATCAAATCTATTTTAGATATTTGTTCAAATTAATTTCATTTATATACAAGGAATTCCTTTATGTAAAGAAGAAACCTAAGTATATGTACTCCGTATCATTTTTTAGATGTCTTGATCAAAATTTGATTATCTTCATATTTTTGAAGGCAAAACCGTAACACTTTTTCCCTAGGTATTTTCCCCCTTTTCCTACCATTTTTCTGGTTCCCACCTAAGTATATTTTTTCCCTTTTTCGATCAGGTTCGCGACGCATGCAAAACTACTTTGTTTTGATGTGCCTAACACAAGACAATAGGAAGACAGTTTCTCTTAGAATCATTTCTTGTAGATGAATGGAGCCTGGTTTCCAAGATCCCATCTTGATTGGGTTTTTTTGCTTGTGGATTATCAGGTTGGATTATCCTGGAGTAGGGCCTGAGCATAGCTTTCTGAAGGACCTCAAACGAGCTGAGTATCATAGCATCACCGATGAAGAAGCTTTAGAAGGTAATACTTAAATTTAAATTTGGAATATGAGACTCTCGTTAGCCAGGTTGGACGTCAGCCAGCATAGTGAGGACAATAACTTTGTCTCTGATAGTCTGTGCTCTTACTTTGTTCGTGTTATTGTGCTCCTATGTTTGAGCCGGGAGTCCCTTGAAAACAGCCTCTCTACTACCAAGTAGGGGTAAGGTCTGGGTACATTAGCGTACACACATCCTCCCTAGACCCTACTTCTTGTATGACTTTACTGGATTTGCTGTTGTTGTCATAGTTGTAGCAGTTCTGTTTTGCTTAGATGCGCTGTGCTTGTGTGTGGGTGCAGCATTTACAAGGTTGTCTCGGTTAGAGGGCATTATTCCTGCATTGGAGACATCGCATGCATTGGCTTATTTGGAGAAACTTTGCCCGACTCTGCCGGACGGGGCTAAGGTTGTGCTGAACTGCAGTGGCAGAGGGGATAAGGATGTCCACACTGCTATAAAACACCTCAAGGTTTGAGAAAAGGGTTATGTATGTTATTTTGGAGATGACTTGTTATGTGTAGTAGAAATATACTTGAGAAGAGTATTCATTCCCCATCAATAAACAGTCATGTTCTATTTCAATACTCCTTTTTAATTAAATAATTCCACAATCTTGTTATCAGATTTAACACTTCAGTTTATCTCATTTCAGATTTCAGTTACCAGATATAATGAACAATATAGTTATAATTAGAAGTATATTCAGTCTCTAGTACACAAAATTCAAACATCAAACTCTAGATTCCGATCTCTATACTTCAAACTCCATCCCCTTTAATTGCACCCCATAAAATTTAGTTAATTTTGGAGTCAAAGTTGACTCCAAAGTCAACTAAATTTTGTGGGATGCAATTGGAGGAGGTGGGGGGGTCAGTTCGGGTTGGACCGGGTAAGAGGTGTACCGGGGTAGGAGCCATCAATTTTTCGAACGAAACACCGTATGTGCTCCAATCGAGGCTCATTGGTCATAGGATGATTTGGGAAACTAATGTCACTGAATCTCTCTCCAGAGCACCGAGGGGATGGGGGTCGATTCAGATCGGGCTAGGTTGGTAGGTTAGGGTGGTAGGTTTACTGGGGGTTTGAAGGAGTAAGAATTATTAATTTTCCAAACGAAGCATCGTAGATACCTTGGCTCATAAATCTAATGTCACTTAAACCTGAGTGTTTGTGTCTGGCAATAATCATTCTACATTTTTTAATGTAAGTGAGATAGTAGACCACACTTGTATAAGAGGGTAAAAAACTTTTGAAACTTCAATAATGATAATTTTGGAAGGATAAAGAATCGAATGAAACAACAAAAAATCTCAAGCAAAGAATCTAAGGAAATGGATGGAGTATTTTCTTGTTGGGTTTGTTTGTGGTGCGTGCATATGCACAATTTCCAGTGTAACTTTTTTATTTTTAATATTTATGATTTTATTTTCAAAAATAATATGAATTTAATATATTCTAAAATTGTATTTTAAAATTAGTCTTGTAACATTAAAGTTAAATTATACGGAGTAACTCTATATATTTTCTATTTTTATGCTAACTATAGTCAAAGTTTATAAATTTTAACAAAAGTACTTACATTTAGCTAAGCTAAAAAAATAATTAAAAAGCATAGTTATAATTGACAATTTCGGTATTTATGATTCATTTCCCTAGAATATTTTTTTCTTTTGCTTTTGTTCCAAAATAAAATATACATATCCTATTTTCTAGGAAAATAACGTGTCTCAAAATATTTTTCATTTTTTGCAAGCAAATTCAAACTACAAACTTTTTCATTTTAGCACATTAATTACATTTTGTGAAATCAAAGCGTAAACTTCACTACTACTATGCAAAGAGTCCTATATTCCTATTACTCCTTCCATCTCACTAAATTTGTTATTTTACCATTTCCTATATTTGTTCTATTTCATATTTGCCATATACTCCAGTACTTTGTAGTACGGAGTATGTGTTAAAAAACTCATTTTTTTATTTAATTGATTTTTTGAGATTTATTAACTCAGTTAAATACAATATTTGTTCATACATACTTGATTACTTCCTTAACTTACTAATGCACATAGAATTAATGTCCTCGCTAAGTTCTGAAAATGTGACTCCCAATGAGATGAAAAATTGCAGTCATCTATTAAACATGTTACATGTACCATCTTGCCACAATAACAGGGAAGAGAGATGCTTGCTCATCCAAGAGACGATTTTATTAGTATAAAAGAATAAAGATAGTACAGATTTCTCTCAGGGGGGAAGTGCTCATTCCAAGACAAGAGACATACTTTCTAATGTGTTGTTTGGCTTCTACTTCTTCTCGGGGAGTTTCTCTAACAACTCCGGTATGATCTCGAAAAGGTCTCCTACAAGCCCGTAGTCTGCGACCTGTGTCACACACCCCAACTCAAAGTTTGATTACTGAAAAGTCAAGCATAAGTAGTCAACAATAGTAAAATGGGGCATAACAAAACATAAGGAATCAAACAACCTTTGATTTCTTTGCACATAATGCATGGTAGAAAAAAAAAAACATTTCTTAGATTGAAACCAATCTTACCGAGATCTAATTGCACATTGGAGCTTAATCTCCTTTGTTAACATATTAGGACTTGGGGTTCGCCCTATAGGTTAACTGGTCAACCTTAAAATATGTTGATTCGCATCATTATATTTGGTCGTTGTGGATGACTTACGCCAATTGATATATTCAGGCCTAGTCAGGGGACCCAACTGGGTTTAGGTGGGAGCTAAGATTGTGTTTGGGTAAGTGTCATTTCAGCTATTTATGTGCTTTCAGCTGTTTTCATTAATAAATAAATAAAAGTTAAATAGTTTGGGATATTAGATTAGAGTTAGAAAACTGTTTTAGGAGAACTTGTGCTGTTTTTGAAAAGTTAGATCAGCCAACTGATAGGTAAATTGAGAATATTCTTCTTTTCTTCTTTCAGCTGTTTTCAAACTATCTTACCATGTAGAAGTTGATATTTTGTTGCACCCAAATGCAATTAACTACTGTACTTAGAAGTGACTTTTCAGAAGACGTATCCACAAACATAAAACTAATATTGATTATAATCTACCACATTCGTATGATCTGTTATTAAAATGATCAAACTTTATCAACTTTCCCAAATAAGCTCTAATGGAATTATGAGGGTCTAAGGATGAAAGTCCTATGTGCCTAGGTGGGGACTAATTGGGGCTAGGCAATGATTTCAACAATGGCTATAACTTTATACATCGAGTGGTGGTGTGGGGGGAGGGTGTGACCTGGAATATGGGCGCATCAGCATCTTTGTTAACAGCAACAATGAATTTGGAATCTCGCATGCCAGCTATGTGTTGGATGGCTCCAGAAACACCAAATGCCATGTATAATTCTGGAGCAACAATCTTACCAGTCTGCCCAACCTGATAAAACCAGCCCCTATCATTAAAGAGTTTAACTAGTGCACAAACAGTAAGATATGAATGAAAAGTAGACTCCATGCACTTATCAACCCCCAGAAAAATCTTGTGAAGGTTACAACGAAGAACTAGCTAAAGTTCTCTACCTGGAGATCATTAGGAACATATCCTGCATCAACCGCTGCCCGAGTTGCACCAACTATGCCAGAAAAAAGTCAAGCAGCTTGATTAGATGATGGAATATCTTAGAATGCACTAAGGATGACTTATTTTCAAGAAACAAGTGCTTTTTAGAGGAGAAATATACTTTTGGCAGGAAAATAGAAAAATTGTTTTTAACCAATAGATATCCCAGATTCCCAGGCAGGCTCGCTCTAAATCTCCAATGCTTGGGAAGGTGGAATTCAAAGTTGATTATCTACTAAATAAAAAAATATCAAATGGATAAGTGTGTTGTTTGTTGTGTTCATAACTTCATGGAGCTTGTTTGCTCTAAAAAGCATATGAAGGGAATAGCACTAAAAGGAGAAATGGTTTAAAAAATAGAGTTCAGTGAGAGGTGATACTCTCTATTTCAGGATGCTTCTAGTAAGCCTATTTTTCAGTTAGCCAGTCGGGACTAAAAACCAGCCTCTTTACCGCTTCCGGTAGGGGGTAAGATTTGCACACACACAACCACCCCAAGACCCCACTGTGCGGGACTAGACTGGTAGGTTGTTGCATGCGATAAGAGGATACAACTAAAACTGAAAGCTAAAGGGAGGAAGATCATACACTTAAATGCAGAGTATAAATCACTACGAAATCAAATTTTATTGAAAATAACCTGCTGCCCCAAGTTTCTCTGCAAGCTTCTCTATCATTTTAAAATTCTCGGCACTTTTCAGAGCCCGTCCACCTGTAACCACAATGCGTGCATTTCCCAAATCTGGGCGCTCCTCATTTTGAGAGCAAAGCTGTATATATCTTGATTTACCAACTGCACCATCTGCATATCAAAAGCTAGTCCTTACTTTTTACAGTTGCTAAAAGTGATGTCCAGCCAACCTCACACTCTGCTTGTTTCTGACTTATCATGACAGAAATATGTAGAACACTAGTACCCTCCTTCCCAATAAGTCCTGTTTCAAATGATTTTTTAGAGTCCTCTTTTATTAAAAGAAATACTGGTAGCTAATTTTTCATGTAATTTTGCCAAAAATAGAGTAACCAACAAGATCAATATGTTAACTTCAGTTCAACTAAAAAATAAAAGTAAAAATAGGATTCCTTGCCAAAATTTAAAATCCTACCTAATCAAACATGACTCTTTTCTTGGGAGTGAGGGAGTGGTAAAGATATAAACATTTTCATGCCAAAGTATATTAACCTACCTTCATTCAAGGTAGAAATATCAACCTGGTCAATAGGTGCAGCCACAGGTTTTGAACTAGCTGCCACTGAACCAGCCGGAAAAGATGGAGCCCTTATGGTCAACATACAAGGAGTGTGGCCATTATAGCGGACAGTAGAAAGAGCATTTCCTGCATATGTTGGCCTGCCCGTACAGAAACAAATCTGATTCAAATGAACTGCATGATGGGCTGAACCTGAACACACAATTTTCAAACATGTAACAGCCTACAGGGACAAAGGTTTCGAGTTGGAGATTGGAAATGTAGCATGAAGAAAAAGGCATCCCAAATCCACAACTAGATCTGGTTTTCTCTGAGTTCAACCTTTGCTCCCTATAACCAAGGGTATGTTTGGATCCGGGAAAGTATTGGGAAAAGAGAGAAAATGTTTTGGAAAGTCGTTTTATTATGTTTAGTTTCACCTTCAAAATTACTAAGGAAAATGAATTGTGATTCATTCTGTTTTTAAGTTCTATGCAAATTTAGATCTACACGCCAAATGGACCCGAAATAAAAAGCTCTTCTACCGTTCTACATCCAAATCTGGCATCCTTGCAATGGATTAGTCTCTTCCAAATCACATTTTGGAGAGAAGCCCAATCCCTTTATGGCCACATGGATAATCATACTTGCACCAAGAGGCTTAACAATGTCTGAAAATCGGTGGAACTAAGCAAGCTATATTTCAAGACAAACATGAAAGATATTGTTCTCCATCATTCAATGAATACTTCTGCCGAAGTGTTTGGTGCCCCCATGTGCCACCTCATTAATGTGACTGCTAACCCACAAGGTCCCAGCTCATACTTCACTAACTCCTTCTTGAGGTTAACTGTACATCCAGGATCACAGTTCACAAAGCACTGTCATAGAGTAGATGTTGTATACATTGAAACTTACTTACAAATTGAGGTTCTTCTCAAATTATGAGAACAGTAAACTGCTTTTGTAGTACAGTAGTACCAGTTGGAAAAAAATAGTCAACTGTTGTGAAAAAAATTACACTGGCAGGAAGTAGGAACATGATCGTAAAACCTACCTGACAAAGAGATTAGACCCTGAAATTTCAGTGACATCAGTAATTGGAGAAACATCCAGAAGGGCAGCTGCACGGGGTAGTATGTTTTTTCCAAATGAACTTGATGCTGAGATTATATGTGAGTAGCTAGCTTTCTGATGAACCAACTGGACTAGCTTAGCCCATGGTTCTGCTAGAGGATTCGTAAATTTTTCAGAATCAGCAATAAGAACCTGACAAAATGAAAACCCGGAGTATCATGAGTCTGCAGAAGATGAATTTATTAATTATATACCGCTCAACATTTCATCCATGTACTTTTCTCACGACATTTTGTTTAGATTCATTTTATTTAGCCTTTTACATAAATCATAAAAATGTCACTCCGGAAAATATTTGAAAACTGTTTAAACGTTCATGAAACTGAAGTTTCATTATATACTTTTACTAGTGCATGTGTTTATGCATTTTTTATTAGAATGAGATACTCGTCCAAAAATAAAGTCATGATAGCATCCAAGTTTTTGCTTTGTTTTTTAAGTTGGAACATGGTTGACTGACCCTAAATTTACACTGAGACCTCGCGATCTACTTAAGGGGATGTGATCTAGTATAACAGTTTCTATCACTATTCACCAATAACCTGAGAAACAGAAGCATGACATGATGCAGCACGTGAAACAGTTTCCTTAATTGAAGGACCTGATCCAGCAAGTAATAAAGATATAAAATTATCATCGCCCAAATATTTAGCTGCCTCTATCGCACTTAATGTTGAACTCTTGATATATCCTCCTTCATGTTCAGCCACAACCAACGTCTTAAGCTTCATGTTCAAATTTTAAAAAAAGAAAAAAAAAATTAGTGACAATGTTTTAGCTTCCAGTAAATAATGGACTAAATCAAAATGGCCACATAAAACTCTTACTTTGCTTCTTACACTCTATGAAGTTTTGGATTAGGGTTTGTATAATGAATACTCATAAACCTTTCTAGATCAACCTGCACCACTTTGACCACTGACCCCAATGAAGCTGGGCTTATACTGAGTTTTGTTATAGCGATTGAAAGTAAAAATTGATACACAAAGTGGTTGTGTCCAGGTTAAGACCTATTAAGGTTTATCATCACACAAACAGAAAATTCTAAGTTTAATTTACTGACGATATGCAAGTAATGGATACAAATGGTACAATACAATCAACAATTGCTATAACAGTATCGGAGCACTCGTTTTGATTGTTCCTATATTTTACTCCGTAACCAATTAACAACTTGCAGATAAATTTAATCCGTATTAAATCATATGAGTGTGTGCAATTCAGGCAAAATAGTTTGCATTCATAGCATTTTCATTTCCAACTCAAACTTCAAGCAGCAACGCGCGATTCAAAACCTCAACCGTACACAATTCACCTCATACCAAAATGATTTACTGGCAGAAAATGCGAAATCAGAGAAAATTAATTTAAACAGCAAAAAACGATGTCGCCATTACAAGAGCTTAGATCTGCATAACGACTTAGATTTTAGGATTCAATCGAGGAAGATATGTAAGCTTACTGAACGATGATGAGGAATTATGCGCGAAGTGAAAGAGCGATTTTTGACAACGGAGAGCAGCGAACGAGTGGCCATGCTTGTGCTGTGTTGCTTGAAACCCAGCTGAGCTGAAACTCCCAAATCAGTTACACGGAGGAGTGATGATTTAATTCCCTGTTGTAAATAATCCTTACTCGTATTTTATTCAGATGAGATAATTATATTTTTGCCCCTTGTAATATTAGTAAGTTCCCCAGTTCCCATGACATTATGGGATGACCCGGGAGTGTTCCGGTGCCTCATTCGTAAAATTGATGGTTCCTCCCCTCCTAGTCCCCTTGGTAAACCACCACCTAACCCCGCCCCGACCCGAACACACCTTCCGTCCCCTTCAATTGCATCCCCCAAGTTAATTTTGACTTTGGAGTCGACTCCAAAGTCAAAATTAACTTGGGGAATGCAATTGCAGGGGGAGGGGGGCGTGTTCGGGTCGGAGTGGGGTCAGGGGGTTTACCGGGGGCAAGGGAATATGAATCATCAATTTTATGAACGGGACACCGGAACACTTCCAGGTCATCCCATGACATTAGTTCCCAATGTCATGTGAACCGGTCCCTAGTAAGTTTTATATTTATCTTAATGACGCAATATGTACTGTACATCCATGGTGAGTAATGAACAACTGAATACTCATTTTTGAGTAATTAAATATTCATTTTTGAGCAACCAAATACTCATTTTTCTAAAATTCAATTATACTCGTAAATGAGTATTCAGTTAATCAAATATGAGTATTCAATTACTCAGAAATGGGTATTCAAGCGGATGGACGCAAAACATCATACATCCGGATAAAAGTTGACAAAAAAAGTGAACCAGTCTTTTAGTTTAGAGGTTTGTAAATTGATGTGCATGGTTCTGAAAAAAATTGACAAAGATAATACACATTAGAAAAATGCTAGAGGTACACCTTTGGTGTACCCCATATGTCCCCTACCCCCTCCTTGTCCATATAAATAGGCAAGAAATTCAAAAAAAGTAAATAAATAAAAATCAAATAAAAATAAGTGGTGAAGAAAGGGGTGGTGTACATTTGGGGTAGGTGTACCCCTAGCATTGCTCTACACATTATGTTGATCAATATAAATATTCTTACACCACACTTTATACACTAAAAGTTACTCACTACAAGTTATGTTGCACCACACAAAATGACAAGAGAAAATATTGATATTTTTATTTTTGAAATAGAAATTACACAACTATATTATGGAAGAAAAAATCACACAAATAAATATGCATGTAAGAAAACCAAATTTGAATAATTTTATTTTTATTTGTTTGTATTTGAGAGATTATATATATTACTACCTCCGTCCCGGAATATTTGTCGAGTTTGACTTTTTTCAGTCAATCATTTCCACCTTTGACTTATAAATAAATAAAATATACTCCGTATATTGTATATTAATTAAATAAAATAAAATTTTGATAATATTTTATACAATAAAGCTAATAAAACTATTTTTGTATCAATACTTTTGACCGAAAAAAATCAAAAGTGGACAAAGACTCCCCGAGGGATATGTGTTTGGATGTACAATTTTATTGTATATGTGCCATAACACCTTGGTTCCCATGACATTGGGAACCAATGTCATGGGATGACCCGGGGGCGCTCCGGTGCCCCGTTCGTAAAATTGACGGTTCCTACCACTCCTAACCCTCCCGGTAAACCCCCCCACCCCGCCCCGACCCGAACGCACCCCCCACCTTCTTCAATTGCACCCCACAAGTTGATTTTGACTTTGGAGTCAAATTTTGATTTCAAAGTCAAAATCAACTTATGGGGTGCAATTGAAGGGGGTGGGGGTGCGTTCGGGTCGGGGCGGGGTGGGGGGGTTTACCGGGGGGTTTAGGGTGAGTAAGAACCGTCAATTTTACGAACAGGGCACTGGAGTGCCCTCGGGTCATCCCATGACATTGGTTTCCACTTTCTAATGTCATGGGAACTTTGCCCGTGTCATAAACCTTCACAAGTTACACAGTACAATGCTATTTCACATTCATTTTTTCCACACACTTTGAGCATGCACGTCATAAAAGTATTAGCAATATTAATTTCATTACTAAAAACGTTTTATTTTGTTGCCAAACATGCAGGTGAAGAAAAACGTATTGTACGTTTTGTGTTTTTTTAATGAAGTTTAGTTGTAAAGAGATTATTTTTCTAAAATAAATTAACTGAGAAACTAAAATTTAATTTATTATCATTTTAGTGGAAAATATTTATGAATTATTGAAAAATATAAGAAATTAATCAATTTAACGTTTCAATACTTTATGTTTTCTCTATAGTGGTAACTAAAATTGTTTTGAGAATAACCAAATACTACGTAATTTTCTATATAAATGTGATATTACTTCAAATTTTTTGTTATGTTATTGACATTGATAATAATATAATAATTATATTAAGAATAATAAGAAAAACAAACATAAATAATATAGTGTATTTTTTAAGTCATGAAGAAACTAGGAGTTAGAAAAAACTGGAAAAGATTTTAAAATTTTGAAATGAATTGAAAAATGTTGGAAATTCATTTTTGCAAAAAAAGACTCTAAAATTATTTTTAATTCAACTTATTTGAATAATGACACAAAAGTTTAAAATGAAAATTTTAAATTCAAATGTTATATCAAATGCTCTATATAATATAAGATGAGATGTCATATGTAGTGTTATTTCAACAAATAACTCCTGAAAAAATAAAAAAAGTTGATATGTAACTAGTCTTTGTAATTTAACTATGAGACGGAAGAAGAATCATACAAAACAAAGTACATTAGATGTAGAAGTATAGACACGATGTTTACTTGTCTAGTTTATTAAGTAGCTTCAAAGTATTTCAATCTCGTTTACTTTTCTGTAATATTTGGTGTAGAACATCAAAAAATGTATTCTGAGGCAAAATATGTTTTTCATTTATAAATGTATTGTGTTTAGTAATTTAGTCCCATTTATAAGAAATACTCTATACTATAATTTGATTGAGAATTGAGATAAAAATGGTTGGATATGACAAAAACCAAAACAATTGGAGTGTGCATTCTTTTAAGTTTATTTCTAACTCCTTATATTTTGTAAAGTATATACTTTCAAACTATATTCAATTGTTTCCAATTCACACAGTTTTTCAAAGCCCAAATATATTTATTCAACTCAGAAAACTTTTTAAAATGTTGGTCAATTTTAGTATTTTCGCCATTTTAGAAAAATAAATTATTCCGAAAATCAATTATTGGAATATAATTATTTTATTGAGAATCTAATTTTAAAAATTTGTTTATATATATTTAGAATATGTAAATTATTTTTTCAAAACAAAATCATTTCTTTAAATATAGAGTAATTATAAATCTGAGAAATAAATATCATTTTGAGTGGTATATTTACACATAGTTTAATATAGTTTGAAAATCATATTTTTGAACAAAATAAAATCATACACCTAATTTTGAAATGCATAAGTATTTATTGCTGAAATAAAAATATTTTGAAAATAAAAATATATGTATTCAAAAAAGCTGCAAAATAAATTATTAAAACAATTTTATCAGATTGCGAAAATCACACTATCCTACGTAAATAAAATTATATATCATTTCCAAAGAAATAAATAAATAACTCGACTTAAAATGGTGTATCATGTTATTTATTGGAAAATTTTTGATTTCCATACTGTAATGATATATTAAATTTACTTCGGGAATATATTTGTTATATTTTCAAAATGCACATAGTTTATTTTTTGAATAATTCTTATTTTGTAAATAAATCATTATGTACATGAATCAAGAAAGGGCATATACTCCTCATGTTTTAAAAAATTTCGGGCTTAGTAAAATTATTCAATATGTAAAGCCAAAGTATTAATTTTATTATTTATAATAGTATTTTTAAAATTATTTTTAATTTTGTAAAAAATTGTATAATTCGAAAAATATAAATAATTTATTTTCAAAATATATTTTGAAAATATTATTTTTTCAATAATACTGATTTTTTTTGAAAATATTAGAAATACTAGGCTCAAAATGAAATTTTAATGATTTAATCGGAAATAAGAATTAAATTAAGAATGCATGTTAATTTTTTTTTAAATATTTTCAAATACGTAATTAGTGATTTGTTATTCGTTTTTTAAAAATGCCCAGTAAGTGATTATTATTCTTTTTTTAAGGGCGTAAAATGCAAACTGTTCCAAAAAAGTAAAAAGAAAAAACTGGAAAGAAAAAAAAACTCGTGCTAAAGAAGAGAGAGACACTTCTATAGTTCCGTAGTTTCCCAGCGTTTCCTCTCTGACCTTCGTCCAACCACGCTGAACGAGTGAACTCGCTCCACTTGCGTTACGACACTCGGAAATCGGAATCAACTCTTGCAGATCGGCGCCGGGAACTCAGCCGGGTTCGGCAATTTGTTTCCTCTTCAATCTATTCCTCCCGCCGCAATGCCGATTTCATCCAGCAAACTCAAATCCGTTGATTTTTACAGGTTACACTTCTCATTTGGTTGTGTTCTGATGATTCTCTGCTGTTATTGCTGAGCTTCCGCTTTTCATATATAGTTCTCTGTTTTACATTGGCGGTTTCTGAGTAGCTGCTTTCCAGCTCCTGATTGTGGAATTTCTGTTTGATATGATTATATTTCTCTGAAATGCTAAATATATATGTATCTATGTGTTTAGGTTTTCTGATGTGTTCCCATTTCCACATTTGAAAGAATATGACCAAAAGTAGAGTTATTTGCCAAAAAAAATGCATGGAAATAAGCTGTCCGCACCTTGAGTGCCTTACTCCTGATATGACTACGCTTAATTCATGAAATAGAAAAGTTCAGGCCAAAGCCGGGAGCTGTCTAAGTTGTTTAGTTTTTCTTTTTGTATAGGAAAATTCCGAGAGATCTGACAGAGGCGTCGTTATCAGGCGCTGGGCTATCCCTTCTTGCAGCCTTTTGCATGATCCTCTTATTTGGGATGGTAGGGGATTGATGTTTCTTTTTATTCCCACAGTTAAATAATGACCAATGGGTAGAATTGGAACTCATTTACTGTTTCATTTTCAGGAACTGCATCATTACTTGTCTGTGAGCACCACAA